CACCGGATTTCCTCCATTGGAACCTATGTTAAACAATCGATTCCTGTCGGAGCACCTGGCCCCTCCAAGATTCGATACATTTTCATAGGTTTTAATCAAGAAAAATAATGTTGCCAATTTTCTGGATCGGCTAATGAGCACATGGGGCTGCTGAAGGAAAGGAGCTGCGTAAGAATGAAGACGACTTATAAGTCTGGCTGGTTTCGAGCCGTTGACCTGATCTAATGTAGCTGTGACTATGATTTCCAGGGAGGTGTCGAGAGTCTAGGGGGAGCATGCCCGGCCTGGAGCCGTTCTCTCGGGCGGACGAGGCGTGGAAGGGAGCGACGACGACGGCGGCGGCGGGCAAGTACCCGTGCAACCAATGCGGCAGGAGCTACGCTTTTCCCAACACACTCCGCCGACATCGCAGATACGAGTGCGGCATCCGACCCCAGTTCAACTGCCAGTTCTGTCCGGCCATCTTCAAGCGCAACGATACGCTCTCCACCCATATCATCTTGAAACACCCCCAAAGACCTTGAAACACTCTTCGAGGTCTTGAAACACCCCAAAAAACCTTGAAACACGCTTAGAGGTCTTGAAACACCCCTTAAGACCTTGAAGCACTCCCAGGGTGTCTACAAGTCCGAAAATAGTACTGATTTTTTAAGGGCGGTCCGGAAGTACTGAAAAAGTGCGGAAATTCCGCAAAAAGGTCCGGAATTTGTTTTTTTAATTTTTGGGGTTTTAGTCGCTGTTTCAAATTCTTCTAATTTTATCAAATGGAGGTACTGAAAAAGGACGGAATTTTTCTAGGAGGAGCTCCTGAATTTCTTAAGAATGTACTGAAAAAGGACTGTAAAAGTACTTATTTTTAACCAGCCTGTCTTAGTAGACACCCTGACTCCCCAAGACCTTGAAGCACTTCCCAAGGCCTTGAAGCACTCCCAGAGACTTTGAAGCGCCTCCACAGGCCTCGAAACACTCCCCAAGATCCCAAACTCAACCGTTAGGTCGCTGAATGGAGCACCCCGTTGATGACATCGGTCACCGAGATGGCTAAAATTTCGAAATCGATGGCTACTAGATAGATTATGAAATAGACTGATTCAGGGGCTAAGTCATTCTTGCAATATTCGAAATTTCGATTTGCTATAGTTGTTGTGCATAGACTGATTTAGCGACCATGTCATTTGATGTAATATCAATGGTTCAAACCGGAGCAAATACATAGCGACCTCCCTGTGAGTTAATTGTGTTAATTCATTGCAATTTAGTCATTGATAGGTCATAAATCAATTAAGGACTCATTAAACTCGAGAAATTTCGATCGCAAGAAAAGAAACACCTACACGTATTATACCGTCATGTGTTTGTTTACATTTGAACCATCGAAACTGCGATAAAAAAATATGATGGAGCCCTCTAAACCAGTCTTTGTAATCTAATTACGATCGAATTTTTGGAACGTTTGATCAATATCGGAAAAATCGAAGTTTCAGACTCTAGATCAACCTTTAAGAAATGTTCGTGCCGTACGTAAATCATCCTCCATGATGGTCCTCCAGGGAAGCTGAGGAAACCTAATAGCACGGAATCTAATGCGTGGTTGGGGAAAGCTGAACATTTTGAGTGCCGAAAATATTCCCCACACGCGACGAGATTCATATTCACCATAAAATCTACATTTGCAGCTGTGAGCCTTACATATTGGTTCTCTGTACGATTAAATTGTACATTAAATGCCCGACAAGTTACCTGAATATGTCATGAATCAAGGTGTGTCACGCGTTCCGCCTGACATGATATGAATACCTGCTAATCTCTATACTATAAGCTCCAAGACCTCCTAATTTTGCGAAACTGGTGACGCTTAGTTCCAGCGTTCTACCGGGCCGATTTTCATAATTTTTGCGGCTATTGACGGGCAATTGTCTCTAGATAAGCCAACTCTTTTCAGATTTTGAAAATATGGCCCAGGTTTTTTTATATTACGTGGTAAAGTTGCGAATTCTCCCATATAAACAATGTAAANATGATATGAATACCTGCTAATAATATACTATGTTTTCACTTCGCCCGGGACAGTACAGGAATTCTTAGCTGGCTGTTCGGGAGCGTGCAGTGATAATTGTTATACAATACTGTAACATTGCCAAAGAAGTAAGGATAATATTATTTTGTTATCGTCTAAATCCCGGTTCCCGCATGGATAACGAACACTCGGTTACGGTGCATGGTAGTTCCGCCGTCTGCGGAAGCTGTGCATTTTTCCGAGATAAAGAACCTCGGAATGAACTATTAATTATTGTAGAAATTAGTTTGCTTTTACTGTCTCGTCGTTTTAAAATTAGACTAATTTTCCCATGAACAACTCACAATAGCCGAAACAAGCTGAGAACAACATGTATGCGGTGTTTTAGAGTTATCCCTCTTTCGAGTTAGGCACCGTTGCCCGAAAAACTTCACAGATTCTTCATACTTCTGACTCTAATTATTTATTTATTTTTTGTCGTTGTCATATTTGCGTATGATAATCCACTGTTACCGGTGTTTCTATCATAAGATAAAACGAAGTATTTATTCCGGGTAAGTTTATGATGAAAGGATTGAAATTCAAAAAATAATTCTCCGTAGCACTGATATTTTTTACACGTGTGCAATTGTGCATGCTGCCTCTGCTTGTATTCTCTTTCTTATTCATCAAACTTTTTAGCAAGACTAGATTCTTGTTTGAATTCGATATCAGATAATTTTGACGGATGTACCCATCCATGAAGACTGATTTCTTGAAATTTAATTGATTTCTGTTTCTGTTAAAATTAGTGTAGTGCCAAAGATATTCCGGCTCAACTTTTACTTGGAAAGGATTTTTTTTTTCATGCTATTCTCTCTTAAAAATTGCTACTCTTTCTAGTAACAGTGCGAATTTGGCATTATATCTTTGGCCAGGCTGAGTAGTTCTCATCTGCCTGAGCACGAAAGTTTCTTGTAGCCGCTCTGCAGGACTCACAATCTTTCATCAGATTTCTTTCGTACGGATGAAAAAAAATCATCTTTTGAAATGTAAATTTTCACGACTAGTCAAATTCTTAGTTTTCTCTACGTTTGTTCTTGTTTTTAGTTTTATTTTCTCACGACATAAGAAAATTTCCTCTGTAATTTAATCAAATTTTTGTTCTTATTTAAAAGTAAAAACTGTTTTTTGTTTGTATTCTTTGTTGGTTGGAAATAAATTACTTCACTAAATTAAATCAATCGCCATATTTTTCCAGTAATGAATGCCTACGATTTTCTATTTGGGAGGGGGCGCCAGTAAAAACAAATCCCCTGGCCGTCTGGGGTCTGTTGGCCTTGGGTTAGTTGCGTCCGTTTCATCGGTTTTCAGGAGAAAAATGTCACTTAATTGCAACGTTGCTAAATTTTCAGTCAAGGAAATCGCTGGAAATTTCAAACTGAGAATTATTCTGATTTTTCTTCTAATTATACGCAAAAATTGGCGAAATTTTAGACACTAATTGCGAAGTCGTATTTTTATGAAAAATTGAACTGTCTCAGTTGAAGGAATGAAGTTACGCTCCTTCGTTGGCGAAACTACGATTTAGGGTCGTATTCATAGTCGCTCCTTGAATAGCTACTTTTCATAGGAGGCCTCACGTAATTTACATAGATTCTAAGGGACTTTCAGAAAACACAACCCGAGTTTTGCAAATTTTAAGTAAGTTTCGCATTAACCTTCAAGTTAGTCAAAACCTTAGAAATTTTTTTTCCATGCTTTATTTTTTTTTCAGAGGCAAATCATTGTAATCCCTCGTAAGAATCCATCTCAAATGTCAATCCGCCAAATTTTACCCGCGCGTGGCAAAAATGGACCTTTTTATAAAGCTATACGTTAGGAGTCATCCCTATATGTATTATGTAACGCTCTAGGGGGGAGGGGGGTCGAGGAGAGCGTTACGCCATTTTGTTTTTACGTAATAAAATATAGGGACCTACATCCTAAGAGCGTTACAAGGGGGAGGGGGATCAATAATGCCGAAAAAACCGTCACGTAATGGGTCAGTTGCCTTGGTCACAGAATCATATGTTTTGATGATTTATTCTTGCAGATCAACTAAAAACAACAAGAACTGTCCAATCAGCAACTTTCTACGTTCAATATTAACCGAGATATCGCGCCTTGAAAAACTCGATTTATGACGTCATCCGCCGCGGTAGTGCATACAATGTTATGCACCACCGCGGTCAACCCGTTCTTTTCAAAGGGCGATATCTCGGTTAATATTCAACGTAGAAAGTTGCTGTTTGGACAGATCTGCTCATTTTTAGCTAATCAAAAAAAATAAAGCATCAAAACACGATTCTGTTTCCAGCGCAACTGGCCCATTTAGGGACGGCCCCCTAAGGATATCTTTGAACCTCCCTAAATCAAAATGTAAGCCAAATGCACGGAGAAAAAAACTTCGCGTGTGGGACTCGAAGTTGAGGTCATATGGATCTCTGAAATTTCCGGATCACGTATCTAAAAACTTGAGGTTCAGCTGACGAAGTTCGGGTCAGACGTCTGAAGTACCTCGATATATACCGAAGGGTTCGGGTCACACATCTGAAGTACTCCGGTACATACCGAAGTGCCTCCATGTCTGACCCGAACTTCGGCAGCTCGACCTCAAGTTTTCGGATGCGTGATCAGAAAACTTCAGAGATCTATATGACCTCAACTTCGGGTCCCACGCACGAAGTTTTTTTCTCCGCACTGGAAAAAAAAACACTTTGGATCTAGAGTCCAGACTCTCGAAAACATTGAGAAGAAAAAATACTCTTGATTCAATCAGATTTTTGCTTAAATCAAAAGGAAATCCGCTCAAATTAAGAGGCTTGGTTCTTGATTCAAGCAAAAATCCGATTGAATCAAGAGTATTTTTTCTTGTCGATGTTTTTAAGAGTCTGGACTCGCTCGAGATCCAATGTGTTTTTTTTTTTCCAGTGTTGTCAAGGGAAGGAGCTGTTTAAGGAACGACTATGACGTGAGTTTGAAATTTTCAGGGTACTTTTTCTCAGGGGACATGGACAGCCTGGCGCTGCTGGACGGGGCGGGCGCGGAGGCGGGGCGGAGCACGGTGGAGGAGGTGATCTACTCGACGACGGAGGGGATCAACATCCTGGCCAACTACAGGAACCACGGAGCCCTGAGCGAGATCCACCGAGCCCGGCTCGTCGGCATGGTCATCGACCACGAGCTGAGCGAGCACCCGGACACCCGGATCCACCAGAACCGCTTCGTCCAGCTGGCCCAAGAGATCGTGGCCCTCTTCCCCAACGAGAAGCAGGACACCTACTACAAGCCCTCGCACTACATCAGCCCCAAGAAGACGCTCCCGCCCAGGGGGAAGCTCTTCGAGAAGTACGCCAACCGCCGCAGGGATTTCCGCGCCAGCGGCCTCATCGCGTCCCGGAGAGGAAGAGGTCGCTACAACATCCACATGTAACCTTAGTTTAATATCCGACACGACGTCACAAGGTAAGTTGGACTACATTTTGCAATTTGGACCTATAGATTCTAGCCCGGTTTAAAAACAACGTATGTGCCATTAGTTTCCCTATGCACATAAGTGTTTTTCCAGAAGAGCCAGAATTTATAGTTCCAAATTGCAAAATGCAGTCCAGTTCTCGTCTTTCATCGAGAAAAATCTATGGCTTTATAAGCTTATAAAGCCGCACCCGAGAAAAAAAACACAGTTATTCTATCGTTACAACGGTAGTAATGTCATACGGGATTCCACGGTAGTAGAACCGTGAATTTTGATGCTCGTAAAGATGAGCACGGTGATATGACCGTGTTCACCGTAATATTATTGTGGGCTCAGACATACTATTATGAGCATGGTTATGCTACTGTGCTCATCAATAATAATACCAAAATCCACTGTTCCACTACCGTGGAATCCCGTGTGACATTATTACCGTGGTAACCGTCGAATAACCCTGTTTTTTTTCTCCCATAGAACACGATTTGTTTAACAAAAAATTTTGAAAGTAGCTGCTAACCTAGATATTAAAGTTTTTCGATGCATTAACTCAAACTTTCCTTTCTTAAAAAACCTCGATCTACTCGAGCTTAATCGCATAATTAACGTTACCTTGACAGTTCTTGCAGTGTGGAAATACTCCAAACCCAGTCTCGGCGTTTCGGCTCATCTGTTGCACGTTGTTTACACCTTAAGCAACGCGGGGTGCAAAAGAAACACTGATTATCGAGAAGCCTGCCGAACCCGTTGTAGTGCACGCTTTGAAACGTCTCCAACGATTATTTGGAACAAAAATGACCAAAAACGATAATAATTAGACCCATTATATCAAGCATTTTTAGGAAGCAGTTTCCTTGTGAGTCGTTCATAACGATATCTGGCAATTTTTTCGATTTTTTCGACAACTTTTGCCTCTTCCCTTAAAATTTGGCCAGAACGGCGTGGCGAGGCGCATCTGAATCCGCGGGAAGAAAACATTACTAGCGTTTCAATGTAAAATTAGTTTGAAATTTGCGCATTTTTGGAGATGACAGGCCTTAAATGTTGTAAATCCTATCAAGAACAAGAATGAAATAGACAGTAAAAGTAAAAAATAATCAAAGGCAGGAAAATTAATGGAATCAGTGAGTTTTTCTTACGTGGAGTCAGTATCGCGTGCACGTGCCTACGCGATTGAAGTCAAGGAATCGAAATCGCCTTCAATTCGGGGTGATACTAGATCACTACATTCAGGTTCGAATAGTTGTATCGCGTATCTATGTTTCCACGTGACATCAGGCGACTGCAACTGTTCGCGGCGACAGACAGTTCTGAGTGACGCTTGCAAGATCGGGTTTGATTAATCATCAGAAATTTCGCGAATCCGCGTGTTCACTGTGAACCTTTGGAGCAGTTAAAATCTAGTTTTTTCCCTCCGTCACTGCAAAAACATGTTGAACGAAATAAATACTCCCTCATATTCTCTCTTAGAAAAGAATGGTTCCCTCGATTCGCATGACTAATTAAACTCATACTGCTTGTTAACCAGTAAGTATATGATCTGCTTGTGTCACTTGCTTGAAATTTTTTAATATCCTCTTTCAAATTTTAACCACCGCGGTTAACATTTTTGGGCGTCTGTGTTTTGTTAACAAACGCGAACATTCCTTCCGCAACTGTTCCTCGACTTTAAGTGCATTTTTTTCTTCTTAGTCCAAATCGTTTATCTTCTTTTGGCCCACAAAATCCTCCACTTTACTCATAATTTTGTATCTTTTCATCCGTTGGGATCCTTGCTAAAATCTTCCAATCTTCAATCCAATCTTCAATACCCAAAAGTCCAGTAGATTTACCAAATTTTTTTTAAAGGAGTCGGGAAGCCTCCAGATATCATTGAAAGTGTCCCCACTATTCGAGATACTGCAAGTATAAAAATTCTTTAAAAAGTCTCAGTTTTTTCCTCTTTTTTTTGTTCTCCGAGGGTGTCCTAGCTCTTACAATTTGCGACAAATCTCAGAGCAAGTGTATCTACTTTAAAGTCATCAATTTTTTTTTTATTTTATTCTTTGCTCACTACTCCAAAAGTAGCACATATTTTTTCATGAAATTTGGCGTTTTACCATGAGGCAAACCAGAAGTTTGGCCGCGAGGAAAAAACTCTAGATCACGAGGACCAATAGGGATTTTGAAACTTTTTGCACCCCCGCTGTCTTTTAAAATTTACTAACGTCTCTCAACTTTTTCGGCACATTTTCTTAAGTACTCATTGCATTATTGATTAACTTCTCAATCTATACCAGCAATGAACAAGAACGTTTACTGTTTATATGCTCACTTTTTTAGGTGCCAACCCCGTTTTTTTCCATGGGTGGCACCTCTTTTTTTAAAAGCTGTTTATTTCCCTCCAGAAATAATTTCAACCGATAAATAATCATTCCTATGTTTTGTTCCAGGTTTCTCAATTTCGAACTTCGGCTTCGGTACTCATATCCAGAAGGAGGCTCCCAACCTTCAGCCTCTATTCGCCGTTCTACAAAGATTTGAATGCCAAGTTTGTGGCAAGTCTTTTCGAAGAGAAAAATCTTTGTACAATCACACGAAATACGAATGTGAAAAAAATCCCACCTTCAAATGTCATCTCTGTCCTTACAATACGAAAATCAAAGGCAATTTGAAAAGGCACACCATAATAAAACACCGAATCTTACCCCTGACGTGAAAAATTATGTCGCAAATTCTTCTCGCGTGTAACCTTCGTGCCTTTTTCTCTGATGTTCGTCCACCTTGGTTTCAAACTGTAATATTGAAAGTTAGTATTTCTCCAGTATTTTTTGTAACATGCGATCACCTTTTCATCCATGCAGTTATTATTATTTTTTTTTAAAATTATTAATCATCAATTGGGGGAATATAATTACCCCCTAATTTTGCAGAATATTTCCAGTTGAAATTATGTTTTTATGTAATTGGAATCTCTCATCTGAGTTTATTTAGTTCACAATTCCTACTGACCTGATCTCATGAACGTGAATACATATATTTGTTTGAGTTTCAACCGTTGCTTAAAATAAAGTTGTCCTTTTAGTTCAGTTGTATTCGCACAAACTTGACCGAGTACCAAAGTGTCTTTTTTACAAGATTCATCATCTCTGATAATAAGATGTGCGCTGCAAAGATTAAAAAAGAAAGCTGTGAGGAAAACAGTGCCATATTAAGAAGCTTAACTATACTATTTCAAAGATACAGCAAATCATGAAACCTTCAAAGTATAGAAACAAAGTAAGAATTAAACTCTTCAGGAATTCAGCGCGGCTTTTTGAAGTTGACGGAAGTTGATGGAAACGGCTGTCAGTGCACGTGTCTTACTGAAAGCTATTGCCTCAAATTTTAGATCGTGGGTAGTTCCTAATTTTTCATGAACAGTTGGACTATATTTTGCAATAATGAACTACTATTTTTGTCTCATTCTTGAAAGCAACACAGAAGAACGTGCAGACATATTTTTTTGTTTGGGTTTCATCCGTTGGAGGATGTGCATAAAGGAACTAATGACGAGTATAATGTTTCTACAATGAGACAGGAACAGTAGTTCTCTATCGCAAAATATCGCCTGGTTAACCACTACTCTGTCGTGTTACCGGAGATATTAGAAAAGACCACATTACCAATAGCGAGTCCTCTTCAAAATTCCATCAATCTGATTCGAATAAACTGCAAGTGATTCCTCTTCAACAACAAAATTCACCGTACATATTTTCAAAGTATGAATTAAGGTCGGAAAGCAGTAATTGGTCATGAATTGACGTCAATTTTACAACAGAACAGCAGTAAGTTCTCCCATTATCCCACAGAAGAGCTGTAATCGACCACTAGACAAGGCACGAATATAAAAATTATGATATCAAAAGTTTACGTAGAGTACAATTTACGCAACGGAAAGTATCGAGAGTAAATCCTAACCAACTTGTCAACGTGTTTCGATACATTTTAAACTTCCTGCTCATGAAAAAAACCATAATGTAGTGGAGTTAAATAGGTCGCTAAAAGTTATCGTAACAGTATTTTGTCACCTTCTGACCCAATTATTTTAAGCTCCATGCGTTTAAAAATTTCCGCCGACGTTTTATTTTTTTGCAGGGAAATTGTTGGTTGAATCTGTCGGGAAATTTCACTGAATTTTATCGGCAGCACGACGAGAATTCAGTGAAATTTTCGGGCAGCTACGTTGAAAAATTTATCTTTAAAAAAATAAAATGGCGGCGGAAATCGCATGGCGCTTGTGATACTTTGGCCGGAAGGTGACGATTTGCAGTTTTTTTCTAAGATGTTAGATATAATCAAACTGACTGAAGGTTCGTTTGTTGCAGGTGGGAGTTCTCTAATGTATTATACGGAGAGCCCAGGGTACCTCGTTCGTGCGAAAGGTAATTTCGGTGACGTCAAAAGGTTCTCCTGTCCCGATTGCAATAGGCAATTCGTCAGACCCTCGTCCTTGCGCAGTCATAGATTGTACGAATGCGGGAAGGAACCGGATCTCAAATGCCCCGAATGTGCCTACGTCACAAAAATCAAAGGGAACCTCAAAAGGCACCTCATAATGAGACACAGGGAACACGCACACTAACATTGAACACACAACAGTGATTGATATAAGAATTGAAAAAGATCAACCAATGTTGAACTTTGCTTTACCGGTCATCCTTAGGAAAATCCCAACTCTTAAAAATTATTTTCACATTTGTTTAATCAGCAGGGCAAGCTTTACCGGTTGCTTTTATTCGGTGCTCTCGAAGATGCATTTTTATCAGAATTTAACATTAGCTCTGAATCAATACTTACAACCATGTATTTTATCATTGAATTTTGTCAATAACGTTGTACAATACCTGTAAATTTGTAAACTACATTTTTTTTATCAATTATATTGATTTTGTATCATATGGCCCTTTAAATTCTTGTTTCCTCCCCAATTCAATTTTCCCCCTATTATATAGTCCCAATGTTCCTGGTGTAACACGTTGAAAGCAGATTTAATATTTCCGTCTCAAAGTCTCTCGAACCCCCCAGTGGGAGTTTAGTCTCCCATAAGGGAAAACTGTGGTGTTGCAAATGAAGCAAAGTCTTTCTGTCCTTGTGGACTGTTTGAAATAAGTGAGAAATCCGGGGCTCTTTTCCTATACCAAAACGCTTGAGATGGTCATACCCTTCCTATGTACACTGAAAAAAAAGTCACGAACTGTATAGACACACCGTCCATTCCGGGCTCTGTGGCCGAAAGTTCCGAGTATTGGAGCCGTAGCTTCGACTGCTCCGGGTACCACGCCCGAAACGTGGATGGTATGTCTATCTAGTCCGTAAATACGGCCAGGGTGTCTACAAGTCCGGAAATAGTACTGATTCTTTAAGTGCAGTCCGGAAGTACTGAAAAAGTGCGGAAATTCCACAAAAAGGTCCGGAATTTTTTTAATTTTTTGTCATTCTTGTCGCAATTTCAAATTTCTGAAATTTTTCGAATTTCGTCAAATGGAGTTACCGAAAAAGTGCGGAATTTTTCTGTTGGAGGAGGTACTGAATTTCTCGACAATGTACTGAAAAAGTACTGTAAAAGTACTTATTTTTGACCAGCCTGTTTTAGTAGACACCCTGACGGCTTCCACGGCCGGAGTTTTTTTTCAGTATAGGTACTCTAGTATGAGCAAGTGGTGCGTTGTTTCTTGGTCGTTAATTAACTTGTGCTCGTTTATTTTGTTTTGCGCAGTCAAGTGTCTGGCAAATTCGTTTGAGTCCGTGCGCTTCGGGGTGTCGAGTCCTCGGATGCCGCGGAGTCGGCCGAGTCTGGAGCTCCCGTTCTTGGACGTTTCCTCGTCCTCGCAGTTCGGAGTCAACGACACCCTGTTCGGAGTCAGCGACACTCCGTTCCCGTGCCAGCAGTGCGGGCGCCAGTACAAGCGTCCTCAGGCGCTCCGAGCCCACATCCGGAAGGAGTGCGGCAAGGAGCGCAAGTTCCAGTGCCACCTCTGTTCCTACAAAGCTCTCCTCAAGCACCACCTAACCAACCACCTCCTCCTCGTCCATAAAATCGATGCCAGAAGGAAGTCCATCTCATGCGCCTGATTCTTGCCCTAGGGAGGCCCCGAATGGTGGACCCCATCGGCGGATCCAGCAAGTTGGCAACACTATTTTTCTCCATTTAATTCTTTGGAAATTTATCGATTCTTGGAGGGGCCAAGTGCTCCGACAAGAATCGATTATTTCACATAGGTTTAAATGGAGGGAATCCGGTGTTGCCAAATTGCTGGATCCGCCTCTGATCGACCCAAAAATCGCTTGGGTCCCTGCAAGCCGTCGCACAGTGGATTGAGTCAGTAGGAGAGGTCGGACATGAAATTTTTGACTAAAACTGCAGATTTTGATGTTTATTTCTTGGCATTTTAAATGTTCTGGGATGCCGCGAGAAGAAATTTTCATTAGGAAACCAATGGAACCACTTTTAGAACCTCAAAGTTTTGTTTAAACGGAGTTATCAGCGTTTAAAGTTTCCAAATTTTGTCCGACCTCTCCTATGGACTCGATCCACTGTGCGTCGTCTGACTAACTCGGCTATCTTAGAACTGTGCATGGGGATTTTTGATAGGAACACATTTTTACAGTATCCGTCTGTTTCGTAGTATAGCAAAAAAATGTGCTTTGGGGCAGTCCCTAAAATACGTAACGTACTTTTTTAGTATTTTTGACCCCCTTCCCCCCTTGTAACGCTTTTGTGACGTAGGCCCCTATCCGTTAATACGTAAAATCAAAATAGCGTTAGGTTCTCCTCGACCCCCCCCCTCTCCATCTCGAGAGTTACGTAATTTAGGGACCCCCATCCACTGATAAAGAAATCGCAGTTTATCCAACAGACTATATGGTGCCATTATTATCCCTTGATACTGTGGAAATTTTATCAATTCAACTAACATTTTTGTTGACTGATCACAGCAATCTAAATGACGGAACGCTATCCCCGAGAAGAAATCCCAAATGGTTTATACACAATGTCTGGAAGTGCTAAACATTTAATTTTTTGCCATATTTTTCAAATTGTAGACAGTGGACGTGCAGAAAAATTATCTACGTATACTAGAGAAGCAGCTGAGCAAAGTCGGACCCAAAGATTCAGCTCACGTGTGCAAATTTTTCTCCTCCTCAGAATCCCTGAAAAAGAACTCTTCATCCTAAATCAAAACATGTTACTAGTCGATTTTCAAAATAGGACAGTATTAGTTCTCTCACTCTGAGTTCCTGCCTCTAACGAGAAGCAATAATGTTAACAAGACTAGAATGGTGTTAGGGTGTTACTCTGATCCTTAGTTCCCTATTGGACGTTTTGAATGGCTCAGTTTTCTTTCAAAGAATCAAATATGAGACGAAATCAGACAGCATAAACACAGTAACACTGATTCCGGTCAAATATGTTCAACAATGCAAGCCCTTCGTCTAGAATTTGCTATCGGAGCACACTTTTCCCAGCAGGAAAAATTTCTGCAAATAATTTCAAAATATTTTTGACAAATCTTCGATTTTTCGTCTTTTTATCAAACAACTGAATGCTCCGAAACATTTTCGTTGAGTTTTTCCCTTTCTTTTCCTTGTTATTTGTTGGTGATAAGTTACTTTTACCCACGTATACTACAGTAAGTCGATTGTTGTGTCAATGGAATCCTGTGATACTTTTTAACTTAAGTTTCTAACGTCAAAAAAATGAACCTCACTATTTCCGTAAGAATTTCAGTTAAAATGATTTCGAGAGGTTCAGCCTCCTTTAAAGATTGCAAAATTCAAATTTCATTTGCCGTATACTTAGCTGTAGGTTTCTTACTCTCCAATCACGTTTAGACCTCAAGCAGCAATTAAACAGAAAACGTTTGTTTATTAATGGACAACCTTTTGCAGAGACAAACAGTAACGTTTGACCGTACAGGCGAAGGTTGGGGGGATTGGAAACTCGAAACCCACAACCACGAATCATGATTTTCATAATTCCTTCGTGTCGTGTTACTCTTCACAACATCTATTATGCTTCATCGTTGATCTCTTATGAATCACGGAGTGTTGTGGATTCTAGGTCCCACTTACTTTTCGAGCAGTTTCAATGTTGCATTTTCAGTGGAACAAAAATTATTGTTACCACTTTAGTAACATTGTAAGTGTACAACTAGAAAACTGTCGTGGTAGCGCAGAGAGCAGTAAGTGCATGCTGGGATGAACCTCGAGGCACATAACAGCATTTGTTAATCATGGCTCATACAGAAATGCACTTACTGCTCAGCGAAGAGAGCAGTAAGTGCATGCTGGGATGAACCTCGAGGCACATAACAGCATGTGTTAATCATGGCTCATACAGAAATGCACTTACTGGTCAACAAAGAGAGCAGTAAGTGCATGCTGGGATGAACCTCGAGGCACACAACAGCATATGTTAATCATGGCTCATACAGAAATGCACTTACTGCTCTCTTCGCTAGCTCGGCAGAAAAGTAGGTTGGACGTCGAACCCACCATGAGCGTTAGAGCAGCGATTCTCTCTTCTCCGTGATAAACGTATGGTCGTATCTTATGAGTCCCCCTGAGCGTGCATTGAGTTATTTGAATCGTCCATAATGGTAAAAATTACCTTGAATTTTGTTCCTTTTTTGCCTCCTCTTTAGGTATATTTATTAACAGCACCCATTTTCGCAGAAACTAGCAGTATTACTTATCCAATTAAAAAATTAGTAGATTTATTTTTTAAAATGATATCTTTCAGATTGTCTCAATACTTGTATTATTGGAGCCATTAAATCTACAATTAAAATGGTTTGTGTCGCTTGTATCATTGCTCTGAGGTGTACGCGACCATTAACAGTATTAATAAGTCTAAATGCCGATTAAATATTTTCTTGTATACCTCTCATATTCCAAGTTGTCCAGAATCGGCGAGTTCATACCAATGAAAGCTTAAATGTTTAAATACAATTTTTTTTCTTTTTAAAAACAACTGATCTACGTATTAAAACAATCATGATTTCTCCCATTCCTTTTGTCTTATATTTTATATTTTAATTGTAAGGACTTACGATCAGTACCAGTGCGTAACAGTATTTTGTTGTATTTGCATTCTTTTTGTTTTATCACTGAATAAATCAAAATTAACTTTTTTCCACTGACTGTTTTAATCAATTACTCTTCCATTTGCTGCCTCAAATGATCCTGTTGTCGGAAACATAACACACTGATCTCAGGAGGCCGATGACCTGAAATCATAAATAATTGCATTTCTGCGTTTAAACAGCTTTACATTGATTAAGATTACAAATTTGCTTCGCTTTCTTATTTTTTCTCTTCTTCTTATCCTTTCTTATTTTTTTCATCTCATATCTCTTTTTGCTCCTTCTCCTCCTTCTCCTCCTCCTCCTCCTCCTCCTCCTCCTCCTCCTCCTCGTCCTCCTCGTCCTCCTCGTCCTCCTCCTCCTCTTCTTCAACTTCATTTCCGTATTTTACTCCCTCTATTTTCTCATCTTCTTTCCTATTCTACCTCCTCTTTTCTTTCTATCCCTCCTCCTTCGTTCCTTTTTGACCTTTTCTTCACATTCTTCTCCTGCTTCTTTTCTTCCATCCCCTCTCTCATTTCGATCCTCCCCACCCCCACGCAGATAGGTGCTTTTATGGATGATCCAAAACTAGTAGCTTTTTATTGCAAAATGTAATCCGTTTAAATGTTAGATATCTCTTATCAATTTGCATTAACTTCCAAATTTACTTTTAAAAATATACAACTGCGGGCAACGAGGCTCGAAAAGAACACCTTCACAAAGACGTTTCGGCTGGAAATAGCCTTGTTATCAAAAGTTTTTCATAATATCGTCTCTTTTGGGAAGGTGTAACCTGGTACTATTTTTTAAATGTTTTCCTATAGTTTTGTCCCACGGAAGAAGGCTGTGGTGTTTTAGGTGAAACGTCTCGGTGAATTTGTTCTTTTCTAACCTTAATACCCGCCGTTCGACGGTAAAAGTCAGCAATCACATAACTCGGTTTGCGACGTCGCAGATTTCCTGTCATACTTTATTTTTTAAACGGGAAACTACTCAACGGCAATTCTTTAAAACTGCCGTGATTTTTCTTCTCCGCGCGAAGCGAATCCTGCAAAAACTTCAAGGAATGATGTCGATTTGTTCTCCCTTTAAAAAAGAACATAGAGACGGAGATTTTCAGACACCGCAAACAAGACACACTGGGAAAAAACACATTGGATCTAGAGTCTAGACTCTTACAAACATCGACAAGAAAAAAAACTCTTGATTCAATCAGATTTAAGCCTAAATCAAGAACCAAGCCTCTTAATTTGAGCGGATTTCCTTTTGATTTAAGCTTAAATCTGATCGAATCAAGAGTCCTTTTTCGTGTCAATGTTTTAAAGAGTCTGGACTCTAGATCCAATGTGCTTTTTTTCCAGTGTATGTGATTGCGGACTTACGCCGTCGAGTTGTATTTTTTTTTAAAAATGCATGTCTTGTCACGGGCTGCTTCGTTTTCAACATACTCGTATCTCGTTCGAAATTAACCTCGACTGATTATTTTTTCAGAGTTGAGATTCGAGTGTGCCATTTGCGGGCGGTCGTATAAATGGTACGCAAACCTAATAACGCACATCAAATACCTTTGCGGGGCCGAACCGAAATTCCGTTGCAAAATCTGCGAGTACCGGTCCAAGTGGAAGGGGAACGTGGTGAAGCACATTCAAACGGCGCACAAATTGAAAGACGTGGATACGATTAAGTCGAACGTCGTCAACTGCCACAAATCTGGATCACAACAATCGCTGTCCAGCTCTCTCAGATCACTCGACAGAATAAGAATTAAGTACCCCAAAACGTGATTTCTCGCCATGAAAGTGTCTCGCAGAACCGCTCTGGAAAAAAAAAACACATTGTATCTAGAGTCCAGACTCTAGATACAAGAAAAAATACTCTTGATTCAATCTGATTTAAGCTTAAATCAAGAACTCAGCCTCTTAATTTAAGCGGATTTCCTTTTGATTTAAGCTTAAATCTGCTTGAATCAAGAGTGTTTTCTCTTGTCGATGTTTTTAAGAGTCTGAACACTAGGTCCAATGTGTTTTTTTTCCAGTGCAGTCGAAAAGGTTAAGAATTTAAACAATCGTCTTAACAAGGAAATATTACACTGAAAGGAAGTTTGATTGATTTCACCCGACATCGTATGAAAAAGCAAGACATTTCGGCAGTACGATTGCTTCAAAGAGATGTCTTATAAAATAAAGCACCTAAATTGTTGGTACTATCATAACTCCGGTTCGTTCTGCCTGATGTCGACTCACCGAACTGCCTAAATCGGATCTCTGAATCCGGTGTTAAATTGTATGTAATAACAATTTTTTTTCTCAATAGGAATTATGTTAGAGTTTGTGAATTTGTCCAAAAAAATTCAACATTGCGAGAAAATCTGCTCATTGGAAAATGAATCGAAAATAATTTAATTCGATAAAAACACGTAACGTGAGTGCTTAGTTCTTACCTTGTCCAGTGGTCTGTTTCACTAGTTGCAAGATCGCGTTTTCATGGTCAAATTCTACAGAGAAGAAGACAATAGTCTTCAAACATTAATTTTCTACGACTAATGTCAACGGCGACATCAACCCTCGAAAAAGTCACTAACCCCCTGGTAGCCCTTCAATTGTCTCGAAGTGGGGCTATAGAGGCATTTTTTTATCAATTCGTCTTTTTCTTCATTATGAGTCCTGAGTTATAGTCGGAAAACACTATGATGAAAACGAAAAATACTATGGTCCGTTCCTGAATAGTAAGGTTTTACGGGGATATCGAATTAATTTACCTACGTTATAGAACCTTTAGTTGATTTTTTACGATTGCTATTTTTCTTATACTGTATAGTATTTTAAAATATTTTATCACCATCACGTGTTCCAAGATTATTTAAAATTATTTATCGGCGCCGCCGTGAAAGGCAAACGATCTGCACCATAAAAGTAGAAAAAATGATTCGACTGTTTACTTTTTATGCCAGAACTGGGTTACAATTGACTCGCAGCCTGATTGTTGAAATTTTGTGATTGTCTAGTAGGCGTAGATGACATAGGTCAAAAGGCGGAGCGTGATTGGTCGGCTATGTCTTATCGCTGCTTTATCGTGCCTTTGTCAGGTGGAATGGACATACTGTCGGAAACTTAAGAGGTGCCTTTAGCTTGTCTACCCGACATAGCCACGACAGCGCATCGATGAGACATAACCGACCAATCACGCTCCGCCTTTTCACCTGTGTCATCTATGTCCACCCGACGAACACGAAATTTCAACAATCAGGCTTTGCCGTTTAGTTAATAGACATGACCCAGTTTGAAGAGAGTGTGAATCAAATAAATTTCCAGAGTGCATTTAACCCAAAGGAACTAATAGCATTACAATGTCTCTGTGTGTGTGAAGCTTCCTGAGTGAATAATATAACGATCGAAAGACTATCAACGAATGAACTTCAGAAGATAGTATTTCATTTTAAGTTTTAGTAAATGTTCAGTTTTTTGTGGAAGATAAAGCACGTCGGATAATCTGTGTAGCAATATAATGCTAATAGTTTCTTTCGGCGCAATGCAGCACAAATATTTATATTGTAAGTATTATTTTATGCTAGTCACTTCTACTATCCTTTGAATATTTCTTCTGTTTAAAATGAGATCAACAGAAGGTAAATTAGGAAACTATTACTTCTATTTTACTTTAATATTTTCTTAAAATGCATGTTGTAACAGTCCGTCTTGGATAATCTTAATGTTTGTTATCTTGTCTTCCTTGTAATACAGTGTTCAGTCTATTCAAACATTAAACCCTCTTCTTCTTTTCTTTTTCATTCCTTTGTAGTGTCCTCTCGTTGCCCTCTATAAAATACCTAAAAAAAATATCATTTAATTATCCCTACCTGTTTTGGTAGAACAGTGTATCATATATTTTATTACTTTAGTACTTGCATGTTTTTTTCTGTATTTTCTTTTTTTTCTTCTTCTAAATACTTTTGTAGCATATTGTACTCAAAGACATCTCGTATAATGCTAGCTTATTGTTAGTTTTTCCCCCTTCTACTTTCTTCCTTTTTAGAAATTCCATGGTACATATTCGAGGAAGTGAGCCAGAGGAAAAAAGTGAACCCCTGCTTTACAAGTCTAGAGATCGAGGTACAGCTCATCTCGTAGTTTTGCATGAGAATAAAATAGGCGCATTTAAATCCAAAAGACCTCCACTGTGATATGTAGCCTGTCATGCATGTATTATTATGGATCTCAGGGCTTATGTCAGAATGAATTCAGTTATTCTGATGAAAATACGCCCAATTGAGCCTCCTGTGAATGAAGGAGGTAAGTAACAGCAATTTTAATTCTTCGATGTCAGTAGCACTGTTTTTCCTCCATTTAAATCCAATATGGATGATAAATTATAGATGAAGCAGCTTCCCTCGACTTCTTTAAATTGTTTTGAACTGAGAAAAAAAACTCGTGCGTGGGACCCGAAGTTTAGGTCATATGGATCTCTGAAGTTTTCGGATTGAGCATCTGAACACTTTAAGTCTAGCTGTCGAGGTTCGGATCACACATCTGAAATTTCAGTTCTTACATTACACCGGACGAGAATTCTCGTTAAGTCAACCGGAAATCTCTTCAAAGTTACTTAGACGCTCTGTGAAATAACAGAAGTAACGTTTGAAACAAAGAGATTGCCTGTTAACTCGACGAAAATTCTTATCCAGGAATTATTAATCGGAATTTTTATTGATCCAACACAAAATTTTTCTCAATGCATCTGTATCGAACTAAGTATTTGTTGCAGTATAGCGGAAAGCTCAAATTCTTGAAAATTCCGCGCAAATGAAACAAAAATCAAATTCATGCGGAAGTTTTTAAAGCAGATTTGGAAGTTAAGGGTTTACCTTAGACTTTGTCACAGCACTAATATTTATTTTTGCACCAATTTTCATGAAAAGCAACTCTTTCCCTCCATCCTGCTGAAGTTTGCAACAAACCGAATCAGAAATGTTACAATTTTCCTAAGACAAAAATCCCCTTGATTCGGTAAATCGACTGATCGTCTGAAGTTTCGTTCACTGTTTATTTCAGGTTCATCGATGCATCCTGGCATGGTGGACTCTTCTCACAATCAAATGAAACACAACTGCCCAAAATGTGGCCGCAACTACAAGTGGCCCAGCAGCCTGAGATTCCACCTCGTCAACGAGTGTGGGAAAGAGCCACAGCAAAAATGTCCCATCTGCGCCTACAAAACTAAACAAAAATCCAACCTATCGAAACACATTAAATTAGTGCATGGAGTTATGATTGGATGATCAATCTTTAAGTCAGTTTGTATTCTTTCTTCTCAACTATCCTTTCTTTTTTATTCAGGCAGTTTTTCATGGTATGCCTCTGCGTCCAGTGAGCCTCAGAATTCATTATGTCATTTTAGTCCTGGTTATTTTAAATTACTATCTATCATTCTCGGAGTTATTTTCTTATCCATGGGTACACCTCAGTTTCTTCTGAATTTCTGTCAATAACTCGTATTATTCTTCTTGCGGTAATGCCTCTTCCCGAAATTCTTTAATTAGGTCAAGAACCAATTATTTTACTCCATGAAATAATTTCATTTTTGTTCTTGTAACCGGCACGACCATACATCGTTAAACCGAAACTTTTTCAACAGTGGCGCAGCGTAAATGATCGATTATCGATGTTTCCCCATTTAAAGCTGTAGTAAATAATCGATTATTAAGTTGTTCGTCGCGCGAACATTCTATTTATCGATCCTTTTCCATAGGTCCCAATTGCAGATTCGTCGATTTGTCCCAATGCACGCCACGACACTGTTTTTCAACCGAATGACTAACCGGACGGATTTTACCAAAACGGACAGGGTATACAAAATTAAACATCAGAATTCATGTTTCCTCTCTCCAATTCATTTCTTAAATATTACGGAGTAATCAATAATCGAATTTCCGAAAGCGACCGTAAAGTTAGGTAATTCATAGAATTAAAACAGAAATTGGAACACATCACCGCACTCCTCCTATTCTGATCACCAATTAAGAACGTAACAATGCATTCTAACAGTATAACTTGACTGATTTCACTCATGCCCTCGCTCAATTTCGGTTTATTTTCTTGTACTTCCTATTTTTACTTCTCCTGTGCAAAAACTACATTCCATACACTCTTAAATGCCTTGTCACGGGAAAAAATCGGTAAATGTCAAACTTAGACTTTTCAACTTTTCAAGATGAACGAAAAATTCATTTGTGTATTGCATGGCTTTTAATGAGCATATTGCAACTTAATCCACTTTCATCCACTTGAAGTTTCAAACTTCAGCTTTTTTTAATCAGAACTCATGTTTTTCGAAAATGTGCAAATGATAATTTACAATTTTGGCCCGTATGATTACGCAGCTTTACACGCAAAATGAGGCAAGGCTCTGAGATCGTGTCCGCCCTTGGGTACACTGGAAAAAAAACACATTGTATCTAGAGTCCAGACTCTTGAAAACATTGACAAGAAAAAGGACTCTTTTGATTCAATCAGATTTAAGCTTAAATCAAAAGGAAATCAGCTCAAATTAAGAGGCTTCGTTCTTGATTTAAGCTTAAATCTGATTGAATCAAGAGTATTTTTTCTTGTCGATGTTTTTAAGAGTCTGGACTCTAGATCCAATGTGTTTTTTTTTTCCAGTGTAAGGGTGTATTTCTATTTTCACGTGAGCCCTGTTGTCCTTATACCTCCTTGCTCTCTGAGGCTCATGAGGAATTGGATAGCCACCCTTAAGTCAGAGGAGTGACGAGCTGATACATCTTTTTCGATTTTGGTGATGAGATTTTCTGGAGAAGGGAAAATCAAGGAGGGTCACCATCTGAGACCTATTCCTCATTCAATTTTTTTTTTCTTTACTCATGTTATTCTTTACTGATTGCACTTTTCCGTGACAAGGCAATCATCTGATTCTCACATACCTGAAAACAAACCTTCCTCCAGCTGTCGTGCTGAGTCAGTCAGCAGTAAGAGATGGATTTCCAACTTACCGTATAACGTAAATGTAGTATGTTTAATACGCGGAGACTTATGGGGAGGGTGCAACCTTACCCGAAATCATTTGCGTGAATGTTTCAATTTTGACTGTCATGTAAACCGTATCTTATTCTTTGAAACAATCGCAGAGGTGGATCCAACAATTTTGCAACACTGGACTCCCTCCATTTTAACCTATGTTAATTAATCGATTCTTGTCGGAACACCTGGCCCCTCCAAGAATCGATTTATTTCCATAGGTTTAAATGGAGAAAAACAATGTTGCCACTTTGCTGGATCCGCCAATGTACAAGCAGAATCACACTTTGAAAATGAACTGATGGTAAAATATGGATTTACTGTTCTATGACTTAGCACGACAGCCGTGAGCCGGTATCCGAATTCTATTATTACTAGAGAATGTTATCTTAATGCCTCTCTTTATTTTTGTCCCTGTTGCAGTTCTCATGTTGACGTCAGTCCATCCTAACAAGATGTACCGATGCCCGAGGTGCGACCGCGGTTACAAACGGCGCGGAAGTATGAAGTTCCATTTCCTCCACGAGTGTGGCGTCGCGCCCAAAGAAAAGTGCATGTTCTGTGATTATATTACCAAGCAAAGATCCAACTTACTCAAACATATTCGCCTGATCCATAAAGTCGAGATCGAGAGGAAACGCAAGAAGATTTGGGCGGACCAGCAGCAATGAAAATGCCTCACGAGCGCAGGTTAAGAAAGGGGAAGCTTTTTTGGCGTGTACATTGTGCACTTTACCGGGGCCTTTGTTTACAGTATTCTCAAATTATTAATTTATCTATTTTATTTGTTTAAATGATGATCATTGCACATAGAAAATAATTAATAAGTGCTGATAACAGAACGATTCGTCTACACGGCTACTGCGCCTTATATGTTACAGTTACAGAACTTTTCTTTAGTGAGAACAGAACATGAGACTCTACTTACAACTGAAACATTCTGTAACCATGAAAAAGTAAGCTCGATAGCCCTGAAGATAATGTGTTTTGTTATCAGCATGTACCAATTATTTTTGTGTGCTTATTCATGTGTACAGGAGACTCTCTCCAAAAACCCTTTAAGAACTTTTCAAGATCTTAAAATTTAAAAAGACATGGCTTTACTCATGAGAGTAGTCAGGTTCTGTTTGTGTCAAAATCCTAGTCCTATTTGAAAACGATGGATCAATAGCTTATAATTACTTTGTAATATTTTTATGCCTGTTTTTTGTATCCTGTATATTAAAATTTAATATCAAAATTTTCCTATTTGTTTGTTTTTTTAAATTATTCATCCATTCGTCTTCTCATCAGTTTTTTTAAAAAAATGTTTAAAGAAAAAAAAATGAGTATCTTTAAAAAATGGCAGCATGAAACAAAAGTGGCAAATAATCTTTACTGAAAAATAAAATAATGAAATATACTTACAAGATTGCGAACGTGTATTTAATTCATTTTCCTTAGTACAGCAACCTCAAGCGCGAAATTTTGAAGATGTCCACTTCAAAAGCAGTAACTTTCACGTAGAGAAGTTTTGTTCCTATCAAAGCAAAATTTTTGTAAATCTCTCATTTGCAAATTGAGTATACTGAATACTGGTGGCTTCCATTGAACGTAAAGCGTAATTTAATGATCGCAGTCATGAACTGGTGAAATCAGCTCAGGGTATTATCTACTATGACTTGAAGCGAAATTTACTCGATATGTACATCCCTTCATGATTACATACACTCCTACTCTGCATTTCACTCCTAGGTTTTTATTAATGCAGTAATTATCATGCAGAACCACTTTAGCTGATACCACTCGGCTTTTGTCGCATGCAGATACATGCGCTTCAGCGTGAATTTCACTCTGGACTTCACGCTAAGATTTTAGCAGAAGGTATTTTTGTTTTAATATTAGCTTGATCAGGTCAACTTAACTTAATCAGCCAAAAATACATTAAAATAACAGCTTACAGCGGGGAAAGGCCGCTGCAAGGTATGAAAGATCAAATCCAAAAAATTATTTTTTTAAATTTTTATTAATTGAAGGTGACCTCTAGAAGAATTAAGCCTCATTGAACTAACATGAGGGTAAGAATGAAATTACTATAGCTAGTTAAAAATGAAGAATAGCCGGTGACCAGAAGGGTCTGTAGAATAATCGTTGCTGGGACTGCCACAAGAAAAATATATATACAGGGTATTCCGAAAGTCCCGCTCTCCCCTCTAACATTTGAATCTTTCAAGACAAAAAACCGAAACTTTGGGGGCGTTGCCATCCCCTCCCCAGAGAACCCATGTAATAGAAGGAGTTCACCTATGAGGTGGGAACCGTCCCAAATTTTCGTTTTCTTATCTCGAACGGTTCAAACATGAGAGGGGGAGGAGTGGGACTTTTGGAACACCCTGTATATTCGCCAACTTATTTCCAATCGAGTTGTCGATCGCTATGATTGCGAGACCGAGAATCTTTTATTCCCGCTTCAGTTCGCGATGGAGGAAGCAAATCATACGCACTATTTTTTCACTGACACGAACCTTTTTTTCTCCTTTCAGCATCCGCTCTGCTCCGGAGGATGATAAAGGATCTGAAGATGAACCACTTAAGTGTAGACAAGGAGAACACTCTCAATAACCACACACATCGACCAGTGCTATTAGAATCGACCGGGAAGAAAAAGCAGCCGTACAGGAGGTGTTTGGTGTGCTTCAAGCTGGGTCGCAGAAGCGAAACCAAGTGGAAGTGTCTCGCTTGTGGGGTTGCGCTCCACCCTCCCGCCTGCTTCTCCATCTATCACACGGACCCCAGTCTAGCCGTCGGCAATTTGAGCATTGCGCGCCTTGCTATTGAGCCTTGAAATGTTCACTTCTGGCTCAAAAAAAAAAAGCAAAACAAATTCAATTGGATCGTCTTCAATTCCAAAATGCTTCGGGACTGAAGGAAGTTTCAGGAAATTCTCCGGAAACACAATTTTTTCTCCTAAAACTCTGTCTTTCCTCACCTTTTGAATTTTCTTGAATGTTCTTAGAACGACATTCACTGGGGAAAAAAAACCACATTGGATCTAGAGTCCAGACTCTTAAAAACATCGACAAGAAAAAGTACTCTTGATTCAATCGGAGTTTTGCTTAAATCAAGAACCAAGCCTCTTAATTTGAGCGGATTCCCTTTTGATTTAGCTTAGATCTGCTTGAATCAAGAGTCCTTTTTCTTGTCAATGTTTTCAAGAGTCTGGACTCTAGATACAATGTGTTTTTTTTTTCCAGTGTGGACACGAAATTGTGTTTCGATCATTATATCTCAGATTTTCCACGTTCCGTCCAAACCCCCATCCCAAATTTGCCACACTGACATAAAACTCCGGCCGTAGAACCGGTACTTACGGGCTGTATAGACATACCGTCCGCGCTTCGGGCGTAGCACCCGGAGCAATCTAACCTACGGATCTAGCACCCGGAACTTCCAGCCTCTGAGACCGGAACAGACGGTATGTCGGTATAGCCCGTAATCTTTTTTTCCGTGCCCGTTCCGTCCAAACTCCAAGGTTCTACATCCGACACTAACGGAAAAGTACCTACTTCCCTTCAAATAAAGTGCTTGACTTCATCCACCGGGGCTATGGCTCAGTGGCAATTTTTGAAAGTTGGCAACTCTGTTTTTCCTCCATTTAAATGTCCATTTAATATAAAAAACAATCGATTCTTGGTAAAGCTTTCCTCAACTAAAATCAATATTTTCAATGGATTTGAATTGAGGAAAAACAGTGTTACCAACTTGCAGAATCGCCATTCCACCCATGCCATCATGTTATTATCTCGATGACACACGTAGGGCTCCAAGTATGAATGAATCGCACTTTGCAATAAGGATCTACTCTTTCTAGCTCACCTTAAAAACTACATATGCTTCATTAGCCTCCTTATGCAGATGAGTGTTTTTGTAAATGAGCTGGAAATAGTAGTTCTTTATTGCAAAATTTAGACCGGATATGTATTCCACTAATCGTTGAAACCAAGATGGAAGGAACTATGGTGTCCACCTTCTCGGTAGATCATGTCACGCGCCGTGTATTTTGGAAGGGAACCACCTTGAACCTAGGAGCTTGGCGTTTAAACGGATCTATTTAATTTCTTGCAAACTTTTAGGACCCAAGCGAAATTAAAGTCGCGATTTTGGCGATCCACAAAAAATAAAGGATACCTCGATTTATCCCGGGACCGTTTTTGGTTTCTTTGGAATACGATGCGAGCTGAATTTTTACGTTAGACGGAGGATTATTTCCCGACCTTTTTTAAGAGTAGATGTAACCCGCCAAGAAATATCACAATTCTAAGACTCCTCCTAAAATTGTCCAATGTCCACCTACTAATGGATTTTCTTTTCGTCCTTTTTCTTTTTTATATTTTTAGCGAGAAAATCCATGATGCAAAAAAAATCCATCGATAATAACGCGATAATCTCATATACTCGGAGCCGGGTGTCATATATATAATCAATTTTTTTTCTCTTTGTTTGTTCTATTATCTGGAATGCTAATCAAAACTTGTGAAGAGTTGCTTCAAAGCAAAAACATTCCTTTCAATTTTTTACGGATTTTTTCTATTATTTTTGTTTTGACCCACATAGATCTATTTTCCTTCATTTATAATTAACTAAATTATGCAATGATTACATGACTGCACCACTGCATCTTCGTGAAATTAAATTATGAACCGTGACCTCCACTGCAAATCGAATATGTAAACGCACAAATTCCAGTGGCGTGGCGTGTTTTGCGATAAATCGATTGATCTGCCATTTAAACCTATGGAAAAGGATCGATAAACAGGTTGTTCGCAACTAACACCTTCATAATCGATTCTTTACCATAGCTTCAAATGGGGAATTATTGATAATCGATTATTCACGCTCCGCCACCGACAAATTCCTAATGGCTGAGTTTCTTTATTTAGTGCTCGGTTATGTCACAACATTCTCGTCAATTTTACTTGGCATTTCCTCCCAAAAATATTATAAGTACAATCTCGCTCAACTTCCTATTCATTTTTCAGCCAACACCATTACAGGAAATTGTGAAAAAGTGAAGATTTTTTATTTATCAATTTTTTTCTTTGCTAGATTTACTTTAATAAGGTAAATGTGAACCTAAATTCAAAACGGGTAACGTTACAAACTGATCTTCCTGTCCGTTTTCACGTGCACTGTTGTTTTCCTCTTCGATGACAGGGTTGTCGATACAAAATTAAATTTCTCGATAGTTTACTCGTGGGCTTTTGTGATAGGCGTTTTGCCACTTTTCCCTCCTGTTAGGTACACTCTTGAGTCTTCAGCGTACCTACCTTTTGAAATCTCAAGCTCCTGGAAGCAATATTTTTACTAATGTAATTTTAAAAGTTTCAGTGTTGAAAAAAAAAAATTTTTTCGACTACTTGTACAGATAACTTATAATTCAGGAACCCCTAGATTACGTTTACCTTACACTGAAAAAAAAGTAGTTAGCGTTGAGAACTAATTTGGTTGGTTCTCGCCAAGTAGAATCAAAATTAGGCTTCAGAACTAATTTATTGTACTGAAGCACCAATCAATTCGCTTCATACGCTGACTTGACTTTACTAGAGCGCGAACCAGAATTGGAAAACAGCACTAGCTGTAAAATTAGCGCTGTGGTAAGACAAATTCACNAAAAAAATATTTTTTCGACTACTTGTACAGATAACTTATAATTCAGGAACCCCTAGATTACGTTTACCTTAAGATGTGCCATTGTGATAGATTTATCAATGTATTTAAATTGTACGTATAAGGTTTTGATGCTCAAGGAGTTCGGTATCTTATTCTTAACGATGAAACGTCGTTTAAGAATTTGTAACTTGTGCGTATTTGAAAGGTGCACAGTAGACTTCATTCTTGAGCTTACCCGCTTTTCATGGGTTGACATCGTTCAAATTAGTCCGAAAAATTCATTTGAACTACTTTCCTGTCAACTGCCCACTTCGCAAATATGCATTCGTCACTAATCGAAACAAGCTCATTTAGTTTCCGCGTATCTACTTGTTTGTCTGCGCCAGAAAAAAATTCTATTATTAACCACTATTCATTTTTCTCTTGCATATTTTCACTGAAAAATTATTGCTATCCAAAGTGAATGCAAACTGTCGTTACTTTTCTTTTGTGCAAAGTCATGAGTAGAGCATAAATATTTTAGGGGGATTCACTCAATTCAAAGAATTTGATATCATACATTCCTTCCTTCTTTCCTTCGAGAAAAATACTGTAACAAGAAACAAAAAGTATGAATAAATAGCCATTTCTGGAACGTTTCTGATCGTTCAATAACAGCCCATACTACCGAGAGTATCGTATTTTGGTGGTTTCTAGTGTAACCACATCGCAATTTTCAAGTCAGAACTCTCCGTGGAATCCCTCAACCTCTAATATTTACATTCGCCAGACTTCTATCAATGTTACCACAACCAATCTCCACCACAATAGTTAATTACTACCATTTAATTTGAAGTTACATATATTTTTCCGTGCTGCCTCGCACACTTCCCATTTTAAACGGTACCTTCATCAAACAAACAGTGGTTTATTTTCAGATACCAACTCTATTTTTGTATTTTCTGTGAGACTTATAATCAAAAGTTTGAATACGTGTCTTGACGCTCTTATTATGAAGTGTCATAAGTTGATTATTTTACTTTGTACATTTATTTTCTTACTTTTTTCAATATGTACCATTTTTAACTTTAAGTATCCATGAAGAATTTTTCCTATTACTATCCTTACCTTGTTGTCTATCCCACTTTTAGCTGATCCTTTACCTTGTTTTCTATCCTACTTTTAGCTGATCCTTTCCACGCCTCCAACTGCTCTTCTCTTCCGTTGTATCCTGAGTGTTCTCGCTTTAAGCTCGCTAAAGTTAAAAGCCAACCTGCTGCACATGCGATTTCCCTCCTCCAACTTTGCTCCAACACATGGTGTCTAGCATTAGGATCTTCCCTATTTTCCCGATTCTTTCAGGGTTTGAGGAGAAATCGGTCGTAAAATCAGGATCTGGGAAAATTCGGCCGTTCGATTGGATTTTTTTGCGCTTTCGCATACGCTTATGCAGAAATTTTAATTTTTCTCCGCAAAATATCAGGATTTGGAAAAATTATGAAATCAGGATTTAGCAGTCAAAAATCAGGATTTCCTAAAATGAAAAAAATAGACACCCTGTAACATTCGCATATTTCAAAACTTGATTCTATACAACACGAGCGCTGAACGCATTGGCAATAGAAACAAAATTTATTTTTCGCGCTTCAAGGTCTTTTAGTCTTGTATTTCCCAACATTTCTCCTTCAATGCATTATCAAACAAGCCTGTGTCTTTTTTGATACCCCACCCCACCCTGCCCTAAGAGTACATTCCAATTGTTAGCTTTTGAAGATTTTAAATCTAGACCCTAATTTTCTAGTGATATTCTCAAAATGCTTTTTACCGCTTGGTTGTTGATTAGATTTTCAAATGTTACTCTTTTAGAGTTATCCTTGGAATAAGTGTACTTTACTTATCATTTACTTTAAGAATGTAATCCAAGATCTCAACGTACAGGATTTTCTTGTATTGTGATGAGTCCAATTAAAAAATAAGAGAAGAAAAGCACACGCGCTCTGTAATTTTACAATTCTCTCTATACTTTCAATTGACTATCAAGTACGTGAAGTTTTGCTATCTTGTCTCAAACCAAGCAGAGGATTATCAAAATGACCATTAGAGACTTTGTGTCCTCGTTTGTTTGAAGCAAGGCTCCAATTCAGTTTGTGTCGTGTTTTCTTTTTGTACATAAAAGTAGCTTTAAAATAATGAGTAAGTTTGATTCCACTTTTACCTGTATCATTTACCTGCAATTCTGATGGTTGATTCTATTCCTCACTTATAGCTTTTCGCTACGCCGTACTTAATACTTTTTGAACCTCTATACACTTAAACCTCCGCATCCTGAGTTGAATAGACTGTGATATTTTTCCAGGTATGATATCAGAGGTGCATTGTAATTTCACATACGCCCCAAAAATATTTAAAAGTTTTATTTCTAAAAGCGCTCAAGCTATCAAAAATTTTGACCGTTCATCTTCGCATCTATTTTTATACCATGACGTTCAGAGCTTACAAGTTCTCGATTTTTGTCCTTTTTTTAAAAAAAAAAGAAAAAAACCCGTTATTTTATTCATGCATCTTTATATGTAGATGTACATATATAAAACATAAAATTGTTTCTTTTTATTCTTTTTTCCTTTTTATTGTGAGAAGAGAAGGAAATACAGATTAAGACAGGATAAGTTCTTCCATTTTTAATTAGATGCGATTATTATATTTTCTTCTTTTCTTAGTATATTATCGTAATGCTCAATTTTATTACCTTCTGTACCATGACAATTACCTAATTTGAGCCATAAACTCTTTTAATATGCTCAGTTGTTTATTGAATTGTGTTTTGTATTTTTGTTTCTTTCTTGAAATATTGTCAGTTTTTGTCTTTATTGCTCAAGTTAATCTTAGAATTTTTTCCAAATTCTCATGTATTCCGATTTTAAGTGTGCAATAGTCATTTAATTTATTGAAAATCGTATACATTTTGTGAAGGTTTCTCGCTTTTTTTTTTAAAATTAATACTTAACTAATGTCGTGGAACATGCGAAAATTTCTTGCTGAATTCCGTTTGGAAGAAAAAAAGTTGAGTAAATTACTAGCAAATTCAAAATCCCCTGTTACTTAATCTGCCCATCAGGTTAATATGCAGAATAGGTCACAATACTGGGTATAAAATTACGCACCGCAAAATATATTTGCTTATCAACATTTTCCGTAGAATGCGAAGGACGCAATAAAACTTTCTGTATTTTTGTACGTAAGATTTTGATGAGAAGACATGCTGTTGTACTTGATTTTTTACCCTATCGAGTAATCCATTGCAACCTAAATGCAATGCTGCGAAGCGTGTTCTTATGGACTATACTCAGAGAGAAGAAAAACACGCTATCCTTGATAATGGTTGTACATACCTTACTATTTTTAAGTCAGTAGTATTTAAAATGCTCAACTTTTCTATTATTTTTTTGACCGTAACTTCAAATGTACCATGAGCTGTCATCAAAACAGTGATCAAATAATGTTAAGTTTTGTATTATTATTTTTCTACTTTTTTACTTCTTGTATATTTCTGTTCCATTAGTCGATCGTAAGAAATGATTCATTCACTTTCATATTTTTGGAGTTGTTCTCATTTTTACCCTCCATTTATCTTATCCCGCACTATTTCGAAGCTTTAATTCTTAAATAATGATCCGAATGGAACTATCCATTTATTTGATAGAAGAAAATATTTCTTGCACCAATGGGATCTAGGTATACTTCAGGCCAATTCTCACGTTTTTTTTTTTTTTAAAGTAATTTCAAAGCATAGCGATGCGTTCGCTATTTGCCAAATTGGATCAGATTTAAGTCTTTACTATTCTCTTTTTTTAAAATAAGAAGAAGAAGAAAGGTTTCTTTTACATTCAGTGCAATTTTCTCTTCGTTGCTTTGCGCGGTTATTCACCCCAGCTCCCACCTCCGTTCCTGTCGAAGTTCTAAAAATTTCTCAGGTCGCCTCCCTATATTTTTGAGGCCTCACAAAATCCATTCGCGGCTCAATAAATGGTTCAACTTTTCGTCCGATCCAATTTTCTAGGGAAGGATTCTTCAGGCTTAGCTATAAGAATTTTAGTCAATATGTTCGTGAGGATTGTTTGAAAATACTAATATCTAAATAAAGAAAAATTTGAGAAGAAATATTAACTCGATTTTTGTCAACGCCTTACATCGGATTTTCTACAAGAACTTTAGCCAACTTCTTTTAAATGTTTCATAAGTAATTCTTTTTCTTATGAACTCACAACAGTCCACTGTTCACTTTATATTTAAACAATCAAAGTATTATTCGGAAAACTGGCGATGTCGCGATGAATTCAGTAATAGTTTCCTTCATCGGCATGATGAGCAACGCTGAAATAAAGTTACGTTATAAGAGAAACAAGAAAAACCCCCGTAGTTTGTGTGGAATGCGACGAACACTGTACGAATTTCAATTGAACTCCTGGATGCAACTATTCGGGCTCCATGGATGCCCGTGTTGCATACGCTAGGAAGCGAAGGCGTTTTGACTGTCCTGGTAACCTCCACTTCACCAGTTGCCCGCGGAGTCAACGGCGTTACTGCGAGGATCGAAAATGACAGAGCGCTTTCAATTCTTCGTTTATACTACGAAAATATTTCGAAGGCACGGATAGTTGCACTTGTGCGTAGAATGTGAGTATCTTCACTGGAAAAAAAAACATTGGATCTAGAGTCCAGACTCTTGAAAACATTGACAAGAAAAAATACTCTTGATTCAATCAGTTTTAAGCTTAAATCAAAAGAGAATCCGCTCAAAGTAAGAGGCTTGGTTCTTGATTAAACCAAAAATCCGATTGAATCAAGAGTATTTTCTCTTGTCCATGTTTTTGAGAGTCTGGACTCTGGATCCAATGTGTTTTTTTTCCAGTGTTTTGTGCCTTTGACTTCAAACGGCGCGTGCTGAGCATGATTTGTTGAGCAACTAGTTATCCATGCCCAAGAGATGTTCGAATGAAGAATTGAAAGCACATTTAGATGTGCACATTGCAGTGAAGTCCGCCGCACAAAATATGAGCTTTTTCTGAGAGGTTGGACGCTTGGACGTGTTTGCAACCGAATCTACTACCCAATCGTCCAAAATCGGCCTGATCAGGTCAATTACACGGCTGCGCGACGCGCGGAGTCTAGAATCTGCGCATCAAGTCGATTCATTACTATAAATCTGTTTTGCCACATAGGTCAAAATAGAAAAGATTGCGGTCCTCCAAAAAAGTCTGCTCTCGCATCACGCTTTAGTTTTCAATAGTGCCGTATTTGCTCGTGCATTTTTATTTTCACTGAACTTTATAAGGAAATGAGTGGACACTGGAATCTTGTATCCGGTAAGTTGGAACAGTTGAGTCTTTCTATGCTTGTTCAAATGAACTTTCTCATTCAATGAAATCATCAACATTAGTTCAATCAATGAAAAATTGAATCCCTGTAACCTTGAATGTTTCAATGAGCACTGCGGTCAGTTGCGTCAAACAGGACCTCGTCCATATGTCCAAATGTCCATCTCGTAAGTGTAATCAAGCATTCTCATCACATTCTCTATTTTGATGTATCGATGTATCCGTACATTTTTTCTCATTGTGGTTTTGAATTTCCTGGTGTTCGTATCTACTTTAATTCTTTTCTTGATGAACATTATAATGGATTTGCTTCCGACTGATAATTCACAGTCTTTTTTTGTAAATATGAAATTAACTAATTCGAACTTCACCTCTGCCTTCTCTCAAACATGTACAGATTGTACAATGTACAGATTGCTTACTATCTGCACTAAACACAGCTACTCTGAGGTTGCAAAATTGAATTGAGCCACCCTGCTCCTTGCCTGAAAGAGAGTCCACCAAAAATGAAAGGGCAAAAAACGCGAAATTACTGATCACGCTACCGGTATAATGAATGAAATTGGTGACGGATTGGCAAAATTATATGATGCGGTGTATACTTATTAACCCACAACTAAACCTCGGCGTACGTGCCCAATTTCTCTTGCATTATTCCAGTTCAATTTAAGAGGCCACGATAAAGGAAGGATACGAAGCCAGTCTTTTGAAATGCCCATGTGTGAGTTCGTTATATCTTTGGTCCAACCAGCTTTGGAGGGGTTGAGTTTTGGTCCATAATCATTGACAAAATTAAGGAAATACTAATTTTCCCAGAACTTTCGGGACCGTGGCTCCGACTGGGGGCCTTTTTTGAAGTAACTTTACACAGAAAAAATGGAGATGTTGCATGTGCGAGGAATTTGCGATTTGACTGTTGATTCTTGAGTAAAAGTTCGCGAGAAACACGATGATGCTATTGGTTTTCTCTGCAATCATCTCCCAAGCTCAAAAACAGCTCTCAAGTTGAGGCCAAAACATAGAGTACATAGAGTCGTAATGTAAGTGGGAGAGGTGGCGCCACTTTTAAGCATTTTCCATGTCCCGAATTCCGAGACTCCTGTGTGACGCCGGGTCACTTTTTCGATACATAATCGATTGTTTGCGATACACGGGTACCCGGCCATCCGATGACAACAACAACAACAACAACAACAACAAAGGAGATAGGAATTACCACGTATTCCACACCGCCATTTTGGATCGAAAATGTATCGAAAAAGCGACCCGAACTCGGCGCACACCGGGCTCGGAATTCGTCGAGCAGAACATGGCGCCAGCTCTCCCATTTACAATACGACTCTATGTACTCTATGGGCCAAAATGGAGGGGATATCCCACGCTATCCTGAGAGTCCACTTCTACATCAAAACAAACTCTCCATACAAAGATAGGGAGCAAATGGATTAGCAGTGATGCCGTGTTTTCAGTTTTAGAGTCCCCAAATAAGGTGGCAGCCCTGTCAATGTATTTTCTCCCTATCTTTGCATGGAGAGGTTGTTTTGATGTAGAGGTGGACTCTCAGGATAGCGTGGGATGGGATATCCCCTCCATTTTGGCCTCAACTTGAGAGCTGTTTTTGAGCTTGGGAGATGATTTCAGAGAAAACCAGTAGTAACATCGTGTTTCTCGCGAACTTTTACATAAAAATCAACAGTCAAATCGCAAATTCCTCACAAATGCAACATCTCCATTCTTATTCTGCCCCACAGAACACGCTATCGCAGTCTAGCCGTTCAACCCCTGTATGTTGTTTTTGACAAAACTCGCTCTCTTCGTGCATGTTGCCGGAAATCGGAAGCTTTTTGAGTGCATAATGGGTTTTTCGGAAATGTTTCAGAGTTGGTGAGGATCAAGACTGAGCCGGTGGACGTGAAGATCGAGGAAGTGGAGGACGATGGCTCCGACTCGGACGGAAATGACTCCGTGTCGTGTAATATTCTCCGAAGTTTGCTCATCGCTGCCAAGGAGAGTGCTCACGAAAAAAGGAGCAGAACGCAGTAGAGTTCCAAATCTCGAGTCCATGTTGTTCTTCTCTCTTTACTTTGCTCTTTTTCTCCTCTTTCCCTTTACCCCTCCGCCGGGCTGATTTTTGAAATTGATGGACAAAAAAAAAAACAAACTGAAAATTAAGCGACCCTGTCACTGGGAAAAAAAAAAAAACATTGGATCTAGACTCCAGACTCTTGAAAACATCGACAAGAAAAAGGACTCTTGATTCAATCAGATTTAAGCTTAAATCATAAGGAAATCCGCTCAAATTAAGAGGCTTGGTTCTTGCTTTAAGCTTAAATCTGATTGAATCGAGAGTATTTTTTCTTGTCGATGTTTTCAAGAGTCAGGACTAGAGATCCAATGTGTTTGTTTTCCAGTGCATCATTTTCCCAATTAATCCATAACAACCATTCGTGTCAACCAATAGGACCGCTCTTTATTCCCTATGTCCTTTTTGTCCATAGCTGTGTCTATCAATTTTAATAAATCAGCCGCTGATTTATTTGTGGACCTTGTTCAGGGTTGGTAGCATTATGAAAAGCTCACAATCCTGGAAGTAATAGGACCCTTCACTTCGGCAAAATCAGAAACGTACAAGAAAAAATGAGATAACGAAAATCTGGAATCACGTGCACAAGAACGAACTTACGTTTGTTTGTAAAAATTCTAGTAGGTCGCATGTTTTCGCTTGTTCTGGTGGTTTCAACAGTTCCGTGTGCAATATTGAAATTTTAAAAAACTTTAAGGTAACTGACCTGCCCGTGAACTCACGCACCTAAGGACGATCAGAGGCAAAACATATTGCCTTACATCTCATTTTCGGGCAATTACGTTGTTTTAAAACTTTTGATTTTTTTTTTCATTTTTTTTAAATTTTTTCTTGTTAGGCCGCGTTTCGATCCAACCACGAACAATCGCAATTTTTGCAAGTTTGCAATTCTATTTTTGTTCCATTTAGTTCTGCGGTAAATATCGATGGCGTACGACGCTACTCGCTTCGATCGATATAAATCGTTTCAATAAATTTAAATTAAAGGAATGCAGCATTGCTGCTAACTCGGGAGAATCGCTACGCTTGCCAAAGATAGTCGCGGGTTGCCCGGATAAGATTTGGCAACTCTGGGCTCCGTCCGTTTGAATGTATATAAAATAATCGATATTTATCTATCCAATCAGAAGTAGCCTGTTTTGCCAAGAATCGATTTTTTATGATGGAGTTAGATGGAGGGAAAAGAGTTTGGCCGATTCGCGATTGGTCCGGGGTTGTAATTGAAACGTATCCAAGGCAAAATGCGAACATTTTAAGTAACTAAATTGAGAAAATCCTAGGATATGCTTTTTTGTTTTTCAATTTTTTAAAGTTATTTTTCTCAATGGAAAAGATGAGATGTTGACCATCGGAAGATTTCCACAAGTCGTCGGAGAACCTGGTAGCAAAATCGATGGTATTAAAAAGTAATCTCTAAGCCTTTTCTCATGACTTTTTAAATTTTTTGAATATGTCTTACAGTTCTCATCGATTTCTTGACGTTTCTTACATGTACATCTGGTCGTTATCACGAAATACATGTGCAAATAAATTAAATGGCCTAATCTTCTATATGACCTTATTCAGCCTTAAACTCTCTCATATTTATAATTATTGTTGTATAAAAAAGCTCTGTTTTTTATTTTTATAAATCTTTTTATTTTTCACGTTAATTATAGCTAATTTACGTTTTTGTTTGAAAGTTTTTTAATTGTTTGAAGAATATGTGCCTCAAAATATTAAGTGATTGGGATAGTTTAGTAATTTCCGCATAACCTTTCATTAGGATCTGAATCATGATCCTTTTGGTCTGTACAAACTGACGCAATTGCATTTAATATTTAGTACTATGAAAGTAATATTGGCCTTTTGAATCTTTTTCATTTAAAATCTAAATTGTCTTTGTTTTGTTGAATATATGAATCATTTTTGCTACATTTTGCTTATAAATTTTATACTTTTTTATACATATATTATATTATTTTAAAAGATTCCTTTGCTGTTAATTGGAGTTAAGCATAAAATTGTTAAAAATTTCTAGTGTCGTCCCGTTCATTCTCCTCTCTCCTTCTTTTAACCAAATTAAACGTAAGTAAACATCAAATAAATTTATTGAATAATTGCATATCGATGGTCACGGTCGGAAAATGCCTGCCTCCATTGCAACGTTTAAAAATCTCCTATTATTATCATTATTATTTTTACTTTCATGTTAATTTCTTACTTATTATTGTTTTTCTAAGTTTTTTCTTTTTTTCCTTTTTTTATTAAAGAAAACTAATCATAATATCTTTTGGCAACTTTGTGCGAATATTTTTGAATGAGTTAACATAATTCCGCGACAATTACAGAAACATTAAAGAGACAAATAATTGGGTTGATTTCTTGTATTATATTTTTTAAAAGATACGCAGTATTTAATTAATTAATCCAGTATTGAATGATTTGGGGGGGGGGGCGATTCCTCGAGTGTTTAACATAGCGGTAGGTCAGGGATTGATTCACTATGCGCATTCGGACTGAATTTTTTGCAATAGGGAATCACTGTAAAATCTGTAAAAGCTCATCTATAAAAGCTCTATCTGCACCGAAATCTAATGGTAGGTACATATTTTAATTTTCAAATCAGAGGGAGGGGCTGGCCGCCCGTTCCAAGTACATGCGAGCAGTAGTTGCTGGAACTTGCTTTTCTCACCGCTTTCAAAGCTAAAACAAATTCTCAAATCAGCCAGGAATGATGGTTCTTTATTGCTAATTTTAGTCATCTAACTAGAAGCAAAACAGTGTTACCAACTTAACGAGGGTCGCCATTGCGATGAAGCAGTCTGTTTTGATGCATGGATTATCGATCTTTCTACATTAATTTAAATGGACATGTTTATTCTAAAAGGAACTATGTTGCAATTTTGCATGCAAGCCCTATGTACATACTTTCTTCTAGCATATGTACGTCCACATGAGTAGAACCCAGTGTCACTGATTTGCAGAAATTACCACTGTCTGTGTGTCAAAAACCTTCAAGGCTTCGAATAATGATCACAGGTGACTTGTGAACTTTAGACTTTCCAGCCATGGTAGCTCATACAATTTAGGGTAGCGACGGAAGAATTTCAGGCGCATACTATCCTAGAGGCAAACAATGAAATTATTGAATAAAAGGGACGTCTTTAATTATAAGCAGAAGTGTGTTTAGTTACCATCAAGAGATTATAAAAAAGTGCGTGAAACCGCCAAAGCATAGTACAATGTGAGGCTACGCGATGTTTCTCAAATCTCTCGATTTCGAAAAATGCAATTAATTTAGTGAATTTCACTTTCTTTCCAGTGATAGCACCGTCAACTTCTCTGCTAATGCGGTACAACTCGCCTGTTGTGCTGGATGAAAGAACTCTGGATAAACTGCAAGGTTTAGCCGACAATGGAATGAGTTTAATGAGGACCTACCTACCGCTGACCTCTCACGATGACCTACGTCAGTTTGAAGTCAATCTATCGGATTACTCTTTCCGTGCTCAAATCGTAAGTGTCATCATAAAAGCTCTCTGTACACGCCGATACTTAAACCAGCCAGTTGCGCTAGGACCTCAGTGTTGACGTTTAAAACTTTAGAATTGTGAAATTATAGTAAGACCTATTTCAAGAACATGTTCTTACAGCAACTATCAAAGAAGATAAAGCCCATTTATAGCAACAGTCACTGGAAGATCAATTCATAATCGTTTTAGCCATTTGAAGCTTCATCGAGCCCTAGAAACTAATGAAAGAAGAATGGCGGACGTCCCCTGCATATAGTTCAAAATAACGGAGGATGAAGTTTTATTTATTTGTTTTACCGCAACCCCCTCCCCCCCCCACACTCTACAGTTGAAAACATTTTTTCAGCCCACACAACATAGCGTGAAAGGTTTTTACTGGAAAGTAACTCTTTGTTTCTGTGCTTAGGTAAAAGAGCTGTCACTTTCTGGAAGAAAAAACTTCAAAAAAACCATCACTGATATATGTCGGCAACTTATGACTGATGACTTGGCCCACGATTTCAGTTGGAAGGGACAAAGGAACAACAAAATGGCCATGGAAGATCTCCTTCTTAAGGATCTAATTTTTGGTAATTATATGCTGACAATCAGCTGATCTTATATCACCTCCGGAATGATCGGTAATGTTTCTATATTATACGGCTACAAGCAAAATCTTGGAAGCACTATTTCTGACGAACTGCCGGACCGATAAGGATGATCTTTACATGTATGTCATCTTTAGTAGATGTAGATGTGCAAAAAATTATGAAACCCGGAACTTTTAATGTTGTGGAGCTTTTAAAGCTCATGTCACTTAAGTCCAATGTTAATAGCGTGAGAGATATGTCGTTTCCGCTAGAAACGTCAAGGTGTGGGATTCTACCTGAGTGACTCGAATAAACAAGAAAACAATGGAAAAGCTCGTGAAGGGCTCCTCATTCGAAGAGTTGAGGAACGGTGCATCGCTCAGGGTTCAAGGTTCAAGGTCCAAGGTATAAGGTTTAACTCAATTTTTCCTGCATTCTTCCGGCTTCGATTTGTGGCATTGGTCAATTTACTTGATTGCTGAATTTCTATTAATATTTACAGCAGATACAAAGTGAGAAGGCAGGCGCTGCGTCGCGTCGGGACGGACCAAATATAATTAACTCTTAACGGTCGAAATCCGATTTTTTTTTAAATGAAGTATTTAAAAATAACATAATAAATGGAAATTTCTCCAGCAAGTGGACTGTGAAATTATGTACATCCAGCTATTCCTCATCATTTACAAATCTTAGTGTTACGTCAAAAAGTTTGAAATCGATGCAGCTCGAACACAAAATGGTGTATTAAAATGGAAGAGCATTTTTGCCCATACATATGCGTATAGGGCCCGCGAAGCGGGCCTGAGGGCGCGAGGCGCCCTCCCGGGGGTTGGGCCGCGTAGCGGTCAGGGGACAGGGCCCCTAGTTAAATTATAAAGCCCGTATCAAGTAGAGGCTTCAAAGAGGTTCATCGATGCCTTTCCTGGCCCTCTCATTGGCCAGCGGTTTAAGTCGGGGCAATCGATGAGTCTCTTTGAAGCCTCTACTTTGATCGTCTGATACGGGCTTAACAGGTCTTAGTCTCAGACTGTTCTTAAAAGATCATACCATGTGGCAGATATATGGACCGCGTTTAGCAGAAAGGAATCAAGCCACATCAGCCATAAACTTCAATTGGGCAATTCAATTTTTTAGAAGAGAACGTTTGTGCGGATTCCTAGGACAAATTTTAAGCAATTTGCTTCGTATTGTGCGTAAAATTCACCGACATTTTCACAAAAATCCGCACAACCGTACTCATTAAAAAATTTAAATCGCCCAGTTAAATTTGGCAATAGCTGATGTGGCCTCGTTCCTTTTTACTCACCATGGTCCATCGACGCGTTTGCTCAATAATGAATCATTCGTCAATTTTTGAAACTGTAGGATGAATATTACATTCTTTATTATTGCTTTTATGACAGGGAATACCTTAGATGTCTCTAAGCATCACTAAACTGAATGATTTATCTTAGGACTGACTATTGTCTTTACAGTTTTCAAAAAAAAGTTTCGTTGGATGTAGTGTTTAGAAACTGATCGGATTTTTTTCCAAAAAGAAAATGAAAAATACCACACCAAAATGATTTCCCTGTAACCAGAAAAGGACGCACATTATAGTAGTATTGATATTGACATAATGAGAGGCTCTACTTTTCTTTTCTTTTTGAAATTCGGTGTGACGCAATATATGAATGAACATAATTTTCTTATTTTATGGATCTGCACAATATCTTCTCAATGACTCATACGGTCTCACTTTCTTTGCGATGTTCACCTCTATACTGAAGTTTTTGTTTGATCACTGTTTTGCAGATGTCGTGAGATTAAAAGGGTTTCGGCCACCTTGTCTTGGCAGATACAAAATAATTGAAATCATTAAAGAATGGTTAGCTCAAGCGAATAATCGGCTCAAAAGGCGGCAAACTAAATATTTAAGGTTCAATCCTTCCTCTGGAAGCCTGGGTCATCATCACTTATTCAGATCACTTCAGAACTAATTGAAGCTCTTAATTGGTTCGCATTTGATGGTACCGAACAAGAGGTAAAAGGTATAAACTGAATTGATTAGCTTCTTTTGGAACAATATTTTGCTATTTGAATGTGCGTAATTTTTTTATTCAATGTCAAAGCTTTTTAATGCTTGGAGAGCAAAACAATTAATTTTTTATCATAACTTCCATCGAACAAGCGTAATGTTTTTTATTGTCTTTCCGTCATGGGCAGAGTATAAATTTCAAACTGCCAGCTTAAGCCACCCATTGCTCAAACTATTAATTAAAAGCATAGTGCTCAAAGAAAACGTCGAAATCCTAGTTTAAGAGTCAATTTCAGAACTTCTAGTTGCGTGAACATATACCTGAATGCTTAAATTCGTACTTCATTTGCCTAGCGGTCCATTCCTTTACGGAACTTACTTTCTGCATCTGTCAATAAGCCTGCTCTTAATACACGGGGCTGCCACAGTTAGGGCCCACCGAGAAATGTCAGGGAAAAATTGAATTCACCTTTACTTGCTTTCTAGAATGGGTTTGATGTTTCAAACAACAAATTTTATCTGAAAACTTCTTAAAATTATTTATTTTTAACCATCTGGCATATCCTCAATTGTAAGGAAATTTTATCCAAATCATCACCCTCTGGCCAAAGTATCACATGCGCCATGCGACGTTTCAAACTTTCCGCCGCCATTTTATTTTTTTACAGAGAAATTGTTCAACGAAACTGTCCAAAAATTTCACTGAATTTTCTTTGTGCTCCTGGTAAAATTCAGTAAGCTTTCCAAACAAATTCAACCAACAATGGAGATGTCGCTGTTGCATGTGTGAAGAATTTGCGATTTGACCATCGATTCTTACGGAAAAGTTCGCGAGAAACACGATGGTGCCACTGGTCTTCTCTGAAATCAACTCCCAAGCTCAAAAAAAGCTCTCAAGTTGAAGCCAAAATGGAAGGGATATCCCACGCTATCCTGAGAGTCCACGTCTACATCAAGACAAACTCTCCGTGCAAAGATAGCAATACATTGACAGGGCTGTCACTTTATTTGGGGACTCTAAAACTGAAAACACGGCAACCCTGCTAATGTATTTGCTCCCTATCTTTGCATGGAGAGTTTGTCTTGATGAAGGCGTGGACTCTTAGGATAGTGTGGGATATCCCGTCCATTTTGGCCTCGACTTGAGAGCTTTTTTTGAGCTTGGGAGTTAATTTCAGAGAAAACCAGTTGCACCATCGTGTCTCTCGCAAACTTTTACATAAGAATCATTAGTCAAATCGCAAATTCCTCACACATGCAACATCTCCATTTCCCTGTCAAAACATGAAATGGTGGCGGAAATGTTGAAACGTCGCATAAGGCTTGTGATACTTTGGCCAGAATGAGACGAAATGTGTCAGAGAAGTTTATTTACTAAATTTTGTGGCAACCCTGTAAATATGTATGAGGATTTCTTTGATTACATGTGGATTTTTCCTTTCAGGGTTGTCGGTGTCGACGCGGCTCCTGGGAGCGAGCGACCCTGATGGAGGGCGCCGGGGATTTTCGTGCCCCAAGTGTGGCCGCGTGTACAAGTGGGAGCAGAGTCGCCGGCTCCACATGCGCATCGGTTGCGACGCAGAACCCCATCTAGCCTGCCCTCACTGCCACTACAGAACCAGATACAATCACTGCCTCACCCGACACGTCAAGAAATTACACCCGAACAGCTTCATTTAGCCTTACCAGAGACAAGAGACCCTCTACTAGTATCTTGGCCATGGTGGAAGCTTTTACTTTCGGGACTTCAGCATTCTACTGTTGACTCACCTACATGGTTGATGTTCAAGAACGTGTTGGCAGTTTCGTTTTGCAAACAAGCCGAAAATGGCCGACGTTTGGGAAAGTTGTTTGGCTTATGACGTCATCCGAAGCTCATCATCGACCATGTAGGTATGTCAACAGCCGGAACTAGCGTGATGACTATTGCTCCCTAATAATTGTCCACAAGGAATTGTTGAAACCCCGAAAGTAAAAGCTTCCACCTGACGTTAGGAGGCCAGTGGAGGGTCTCTTGTCTCTGAGCCTTACCTTCACCAATACGGGTATTTTAGATCCGGCTTGCTTTAATCAGATCGATCTAAGTAACAGGGTCCAACAATCTGATAGATCATACCTATACGGAAAGATTTGATGAAGAGGATTCTCGACATTTTTCAACCGGGGGCGCGTTAAGCCGGAATCGTTCGCTGAATGTGGAAACATTCGGCCCGATGCCTGAATTTTGCGCAAGGAGCTCAGTAAATTCTAGGTGGCGGTAGCCACTCCGGCCCAATCCTAAAAAACTCCCCTAAAAAGTTGACGACCAAAAAAAAAAAGAAGAAGTGGAATGACATGAACCTCACTCTTTTACGGTGGCGGTGTTGGTAAAAAGTTCACATTCTCATAGAAAAAAAACAACTTAAAAATGGAACAAAAACCATATTTTCAATGGTCTGAACCATATTATTGATTTTGGAAAGTTCGAATGGATTTCTTTTCGCTCAACTTGACCTAATATTGTTAATCAACTGTCGTATCCGATGACTTTTTAAATTCTACCGAAATCATCTGTCTCACTGAGAAAAAGCTATGGTTTATAAACCTATTAGTGGTAAATATGGAACACCTATAATAGTCGTAAATAAACTAATGATTCTCGGTCTGTGAACCATACTAAGGTCTCTGTACCTAATTAAGGTACAGAGACCATAACTAAGGTATATGTGCTATTATTATATGTAGAGGTACTACTATTAGTGGTGTTCCATATTTACCTCTAATAGGTTTATAAGCCATAGTTTTTTCTCAGTGCTAATCGTTAAGATGTCTGGTTCTTACAACACGTGTAGGTACTGTAAAAATTTTGTTTAAAAATTATTTTTGTTTCTTGTTTTTCTCTATCAATGTGACTTTTACACATTTTTCAAAAGACTGAAACTTTCATACAGAAAGAACGATAAGACCTCACTTGATGCAGCAGTGATATTATACACTGAGAAAAAACTATGGCTTATAAACCTATTAGAGGTAAATATGGAACACCACTAATAGTAGTACCTCTACATATAATAATAGCACATATACCTTAGTTATGGTCTCTGTACCTTAATTAGGTACAGAGACCTTAGTATGGTTCACAGACCGAGAATCAGTAGTTTATTTACGACTATTATAGGTGTTCCATATTTACCACTAATAGGTTTATAAACCATAGCTTTTTCTCAGTGTACATCTCCAAAGCGTGGGAGAACATTTTTTTTTCTTGCCTCATTTTTTCTACTTTAATTTATCTTCTTTCTTTCTTTTTCCCACATCTTTTTTATGATCAAAACATTTTCCCCGTAAGAATTTCCGTCGTTTTCATAAACCTCAGTCACTTAAGTAGCTTTATTATTTGCCATGAGGGCTACGTTAGTGCTCATTAACTATACGCTATCATTTAAAAACAAATGCTTTGTAAATATAAACTTAATCGATAGCTAGTAATGTAGCCAATTGTAAATTTACGTGAAACTTATGTGATTACAAGTGTCATTTATTGTATTATCAATTAGATTTTTATCTTTGATCATTAGATCTGCATCCGTTTTTTTCCTTTTCTCTCTAAAAACAATCCCTCAAATAATCAATTTCTGCCTAAGGTCAATTTAAAAATCAATCCAGGAATTCATGAATATAAATTTCTCCTAAACTGAAAAGTTAATGAAGTCGCAGAAGCAAAGTCCATACGAGTGAAATGAATGAGTTGCACCCTGGACGTACACGTTGTGTACCCTTATTTAGCAGCAAAACTCTTCATATACTCATTCATGAAAAGCTGCGAGTGAACTAATTTTAATGGCAAATGTATGTTGCGTGGGAACATCGCGGGTCAACATATTTCTTTTTCACCTGTTGTTTATTGATGAAAACTCGATGGGCTTTCGCAAGGCTTAGCAATGACTGATGAATGTTGGCTTTAGCAGTTTGCAAAGCAAGCTCAAAGTGAAGCTTCATAATGGTGTCTGTCTAGTCAAGTGTTGCACATCGATGCGTCGAAATAGAAAGGTGATGGCTGAAAAATGATGACTGATGGTCACCATACAACTGTCCTCTTTGATCAAACTTGGACTGGCCGTCAAATTTTGATCAGAATGGAGTGCCACCATTCATCATTTCCTGCCAGAGGAAACATTTCTCTGAAGTTTTTATTTTAAAATTAAGCAAATTAATGATTTTTAGACTGATGACTTCCGAAACTTTGATGGTAATTGGTCCGAGAATTTGATCGTGTATCGAGACCTGAACGGTCCGCTCTCCTTTGAATTTAATCGATGGCAACACTTGGCTAAACAGACACCACTTTGAAGCTTTACTTCGAACGTCTGTCCAGCCCTAAATCAAAGTCAAATTAGGCTCAGATTTCTCTACGCAACACTCGTCAACTATCATCATTAGTCGAAAAACGACGTTGATAAAAAAAGCGGTGGTTTCAACAGGTTTTTCGGAAATTAAAAAACCAAAAAATGAATTTCTCTGCGGTTCGATTGTAGAATCGATATCGAATGACCTTGATCGATAAAATGCATTGATAAGATGGGATCAATTAGGATCATTCGATAACGATTCAAGAACCGACCCGCAGCGGATCGATTATTGAAATTGATAGACAAAGCTTTAGACAAAGGAAACAAGAGAGATATGGAAAGATGCTATTGGTGGAAGTGGGCCGTTGCGACGGACAAAGGAGGTAGGTAATCGACTAACTAACGGCAACCCACGAGAAAGCCGACAGTTAGTCTATCATTTTCTTCCTTTGTCGATAGGAACCACCCATTTCAACCAATAAGATCGCTCCATACTCCCTATGTCTTCTTTGTCTATCGCTTTGTCCATCAATTTCAATAATCAGTCCGCAGATGGAAAAACGTAACTACGTGTTACGCTTTTTGCAAGAGTATCCTTAGGTATAAGAAATAAAAATCGAGTCACTGATATAAGAGTAAATAGGGAAGTTCTGCAAAAATGTTAAGACACAAAATGTTTACAAGCCTCAAAATACTTTTAAGTTTTGTGGTTTGAAGATCAGTATTTAGAAATCACAGTTTTGAAAAATCACGAAATTGCCAATTCAAAATACTGACAAAAAACTGATCCATCCCACCTGGAACTGATTCCCTGGGACACTTAAGGAGGGTATTCCGTCAATATTTAAAATTTTTGACCCAAAGCAATTAAACCCACGCCTTTGAAAAAATTTCCCCCACAGTCAAAGGTCCTTTTCCCCGTGGAAGAACCTATTTTCATTTTTCCATGAAACTGTTAGACATTTTTTATTGAAAGTTTTAACAATTTTCCTTAAGATTACTTGGAAAAATCAGCATTTTGTTCAGGTCGCAAAAAAAATAATTGTGGCTATTTCGCAATCTTGGAAAAAAGTTGCTTTCCCTTGTCCAAGAAAGTACGAAGGCTTTCGGAAACGGGAGCTAAACAAAATTAACCGTTAATTGAGGACACCGCACCAAGAACAACCTATAGGCGTATAGGTCGTTATTACGCCAATCTGCTTTTCGGATTCTACGTACTCTGGACTATGCTGTGGTAGCGATAGAATATAGATAGGTAACGTCTCGAGGTCGAAAAACCTTTTTTTTCCGAGGCAAATCAGGCCTCTGGATCGATGGGTGCAAGAACGACCTATACGCGCGGCCTTATCACTCTCGGTTAGCGGGCATCGGCGCGGCGCGGCGATAGTGATGGCTCGATTTTTTTATCTCATTTTATAAAGATTTGTTTTTATTTCAGAAAAACGAGCTATTGAAATAATTTATTCTCCTCTCAAACTATCCTTTCCTCCAAAAATGTATACTTTGCATTTTGCCACCAAAATGACTGTTGGGCGTAATACGGGCCTATAAATTTAAGGGCCTATAATGTGCTAGTTACCCCTCTCTATACTCACCATCGATATTCTTTTATTTTGCGTTAATCATGCGTGATTAAAATGATTTATACTGCATATTGCCACCAAAATGACTGTTGGACGTAAAAACGACCTATAAACCGCTTTTTTAAATTAACTATATTAGAGTGTAAACCCAAAATGTATCGCAAAATCTACCCGGCATCCTTCAGTAGAAGGGTTAGGTCACCCAAAAACACCAAAACAGGGTACCTGCATAGAAAAGTCTGCGCAGTACATCAAAAACAAAACTTTAAATGCGTTTTTCTCAAAACGCGGTTTCCAGTTATAGGTTGTTCTTGGTGCAATGTCCTCAATTGTGGTTTTTTTATGTAATTCGGATCACTGATAAGTTTTTTTTTGTTTTCAAAAAAAAATCTGGAGCTCTTAAATTTATGCGGGCTGATGGTTGAGATCAATAGACAGCGCGATGTACAAAGAAAAGAAAGAGAAAATGGAGGGATCCTATTGGTGGAAGCAAGTGGTTGCAATGGAGAAAGGAGATAATTAGTAGATTAACTGATGGCAACCCACTAGAGGCCCTATAGATTGTCTATCATTTTTCCCCTCGGTCCATAACAACCGCACCCGGTTCAACCAACAAGATTGCTCCATTTTCTCGCCGTCTCCTCTATTTGCACATACATGAAAGTCGCTTCTACGGCGCACTCTAACGTTCTGTGACACCCAAACGCCACTTGTGCCTATAGGTTCAGTTACACAATCAAATTGAGCCATCAAACTGAAGCTCTGATTGGTGGAAAAAGACCTGAGGTGAGGATGCCACCAATGAAAAGCCCAATTTGATGGCTCAATTTGATCATGTAACTGGACCTCATCTTCCTGAAGTGATGCCGTAATCACTTGCTGAATGTGAGAGCTGAATGCGGCTTGAAGGTGGAAGTCATCGGCCCGATGCCTGAATTTTGCGAGTGACGCGCAAAATTCAGCAACGATTCTCAGCAACCGTCGGACTAATGTTGGATTTGTCTGAAGGTCCAGTTACACGATCAAATTGAGCCATCAAATCGGGCCTCTCATTGGTCGCATCCTCACCTCAGGTCTTTTTCCACCAATCAGAGCTTCAGTTTGATGGCTCAATTTGATCGTGTAACAGAACCTTGAGCTATTCGAGTAGATTTGACACACATCTGGATGAAAATAACTCGAATTTGCGAAATTTCAGCCGTTGGGCGATGACTGTTGACTTCCGCATTCATCTGCTAAATTTAGCGTGCGATTGCGGCATTAGTTCTCCTCTACCTATCAATTTCAAAAGTCTACCCGGAGGTTTTGAGCTTGGATCATTGATTTAGAGGTTGATACCAGGTTGCCGAAGAAGGTGTTGGAGTGGGTCCCCCCAGGTAGGCGACGGAGAGGGCGTCCAGCCAAACGGTGGGTAGAGGGCATCGTGAAGAGATGGAGAGATGCCAGCTTCCGGAGGATCTCTACCATGACAGATTCCTGTGGAGAGTAGGCGTCGCAGGGCGCCCTAGCGCGCCGTAATAGCGGCTCATACATACATACATCATTGATTTAGAGATGACGTTGAATTAACGGCATGGTGTGGTCGCCACGTTTGATTCGTGTTTCAGTTGAAACTGCTCGGAGCTTCGCGGGGATCCTGAAGGCGGAGCGGCAGCCGTTCGCGGACTGGGGGAACGTGGTGGACGGAGTGCCCCGACAGCGGCAGAGCCTGGCCGACTGCTCCCCGGACGACCCGATATTCCCGTGTCCCCGCTGCGAGCGATGCTACAAGCACCTCAGGTCCATGAAGAAGCACCTCAAGCTCGAGTGCGGCGTCGAGCCCCAGTTCCCGTGCCCGCTCTGCGACTACAAGGCCAAGCAGAAGATCTCCCTCCAGAAACACCTCACCAAGCATCACTAGCACACCCCACGACCCAGCACCTGTCCATCAGGATCAGCCCCGAAGCCCTGGATAGACGATCTAATTCCCGAACCAATTCCGATCAAAGTAGCATCAAAGTGTTGGGAGTCATCAGTCTTAAACTCATTTCTTTGCTTAGTTTTAAAATGAAAACTCGGCAGAAATGTTTCCTGTGGCAGGAAATGATGAATGGTGGCACTCCATTCTGATCTCACTTTGAACAAAATAGTGCGGCCAAAATGTGATGGTAGTTGGTGATCATCAGTCATCAGCATGTCTACTTTGATCGGAATTGGTTCGGAATTTGATCGTCTATCCAGGGCTCATGTACGTGGATGCAAAGAGTATGCTACCGTGCTAAGGAACAACGCCTTATGAACATTCGAGAGTTGTCAAATTTCCCTCGATAAAATGTTTATTTTTGAAGAGAATTATGAATATTTTTCCTTGGAATTTTCAGAAGTTTTAGATCAAATTACAAACAAAATTACCTGAGAATTTGGTAGACAAATATTCTAGAAAAAAATCCTAAAAATTAGTGATTTTGCAGGAGAAATTTGGCAACGCCTGAAGGTTCAATCGGCGTTTTTCCTTATGTGCTAGTTACACGCTCAAATTCCCATCAAATTCCGATCAAATGGTAACTGGTGCGCACCATCTACCATCAAATTTCTGCGGCCTGCAAAAATTTGATGGTAGATGATGGAGCTGTGGGGCTCATCCTTCATCTGATTTCCACACAACCGTGCTTATTTCATGCTTATTTCAATCAACACGCTGTTTTAATTAATTTTACTCATCAATCTAGATAACTCTCGACCGCCATCTTGGTCATCAGTTTGATCGAAATTTGACGGGAATTTGATCGTGTAACCAGGCCATTAGCACGGCAGTATAGACCTTTGGCGATGGTGGAAGCTTTTACTTTCAGGACTTCAGCATTCTACTGTTGACTTCTTACATGGTTGATGTTTAACAACGTGTTGGCAGTTTCGTTTTGCAAACAAGCCAAAAATGGCCGAAGTTTGGGAAACTTGTTTGGCCTAGACTTGGACGTCACCCGAAGCTCATCATCCACCACCACCATGTAGGTAGGTCAACAGCCGAAATTAGCGTGATGACTGTTGCTCCCTTATAATTGTCCATAAGGAATTTTTGAATCTCCGAAAGTAAAAGCTTCCACCTGTCGCCAAGAGGCTAGTGTAGGGTCTCTTGTCTCTGGTATGGACATATCGGTAATTTTGAAGGATAGGTTTGATGAGCTCTCAGACCAAAAAGGCAGCCAATCCATGGTAAGTGATACTTGGGTACAGTGACAAGAGACCCTCCACTGGCCTCTTGGCGACAGGTGGAAGCTTTTACTTTCGGGGATTCTACACTACGGACAATTATAAGGGAGCATCAGCCATCACACTTTTTTCGGCTGTTGACCTACCTACATGGTGGATGATGAGCTTCGAGTGACGTCATAAGCCAAACAAGTTCCCCAAACTTCGACTTGTTTTGGCTTCTTTGCAAAACGAAACAGCCACCAGTTGTTAAACATCAGCCTGCTGAAGTCCCGAAAGTAAAAGCTTCCACGATAGCCGAGGTACGAGTGTAGGGTCTCTTGTCTCTGCTTGGGTATGCTCTTTCCGACCCTTTCAGCCTGAACTCGGCTTTTGGTTCCCGCTGCTAGATCTGTGCCGCGAAACTTAAATTTCAACAGTTTTGCAGTCTTGGCTGAGAACGAATATGGCCATCTGCTGTTGACGAAAATGAATAAACAGTCACATCACCAAAAGCAATTAATGGATTTTAATTTTTGAGGGATTTGCTTGCAATACATTTGTGTGTATCAACAGCAGACCGTTGTACTTATTTTCAACCAAGACTGCAAAGTTGTTGAAATTCAAATTTCGCGCCACAGCTCTAGCGGCGGGAGGCGAAAACCGAGTTCTGGCCGTAGGGATCTAGAAACAACTATGCTTCTAGATCAGTAGCTGAAAATTTTAGGAAGAGCATACCTACGTTTCACTTACCATGCAGCCAACATATGAACTCAAATTATCCATTGCTACTTATTGTTATCATTATTGATGCTTGTCGTTTCAAAATGCATTAAAGTACGTCCTAAACTTTGTCTTTCACATAAATCTCACTCTGACATCACTCATTTAAATATATATTGTTGACCCTTTTGGTTTTAGTTTTTTGTCATGTGGGAAGATTGGCTGCCCTTTTGGGCCCTAAAAGCCTCATGTTTTACATCACATTATTTGAGTACATATACTTTTTTTTCCAAAGTTGCCTTCGTAAATAGATCCCATGACAAATTGAACTCATTTTTGTGAAAATTCCCAGCAAAACCAGTACTTATTTTCGTAAAATGTCCGACGTGTGTATTGATGTATTGAAGAAATTTAACCTTAAAGTGCGAAAGAAATGGATTTTAGAGCCCTAAGGAAGCATCGGCTTCGAGTATGAGCTTAGCGATTTCTTCTTCTTCGTTTCTTTTTCTTTTTGTGTTAAACCGAATCCAAAAAATTGAAACATTTCTCGTCAGATTCATAACTTTACAAACATTCAATTTTAAATTTTAAGCAAAGTGAACTTATGATCTTTTTGTCGTGTCATTGGATTTTTTTTACTGAAATCCTTCTGAGATTAAGATTTCTCAAAATCCGAATGTTCCCCCTAAAAATAAGTTATCCTCCAGAATTGTGCCAATTAAATGTGTTTTTTTTAAATTTTGTTTTTTTCTTGACAATAACAATTTAATTTCGCTCTCTATCCTCTTTACGTGTTTTTGAATGTTTTTTTGATACTCCGTGTTAGTTTTAGCGAAGAAAGAAGTACCATGTTTCCTTTTTTTATAGTTTTTTCAGTAGATTCGTGTTACTCTTTCTTTGTTTCCTCTTTTTACCTCCGACAGTCCCAATAACTGCAGATTTATCAAAATTCCTTTCTGCAAAAAAAACCTTTTGGTTTTCCTTTTTAAATTTTGTTGCAAATGAATTGTCACTATTTTCACGAAAAACTCACATTTCTCCAAGCTTTTCATATCGAGAGAATCCTCGATCCGAGGGAAATGCTGCAGTGTTTGTTGACCCATTTCGGAGCTTTTGCTCAGCCTTTCAAATTTTGAGTTTTTTCATCAGAAATTAAGCTGAACTTTCTTTTCAGATCCTCTGGAATCTGAGATAAACGCAAAGACGGAGAGAAAAGTGATGATGATCGAAGAACTAATAGACCTAAGTGACTCTGACTTACCTGTCGATTTGCAGCCTTTGCCGACGAACAGACCTACTCTCACAGCTTTTACTACCCCCGGTGCACCCCAGCAGCACAAGCTAGTAGGGATACTGCCCCCTGTATTCCCTTGTCCAAATAAATGTGGGAAGTCTTACAAATGGAAAGATAGCCTGACGAGACACGTGAAATTTGAATGCGGCAAGGAACCGCAATTCCCATGCCACATGTGCTCGTACAAGGCCAAACAAAGAGTCAGCCTCAGGTATCATTTAATCAAAGCTCACGGTTTGCGGGGTGAATAGTAAAATTGTCGATCAATTAGTAAATTCCATGAGCGGAACGAATTATGTTTTATCGGAGTAAATTCATCCATCGAAGAAAATACTAATGAAGTCGATACAAGCGTGGCTTTCATAGAAAAACGTAGGGGATTACGCATATTTAAAATTAAAAAAATTAATAATTTTGTCGTGGGTATCGATCTTCTCATGGAATCCGGATTCCTCATTTGTTTAAATTATCTTAAAATCTTTTCAAGAAAGCTTCTAATTTTTTATTCAGAATACTTTTTTTTAATTCAGTATTATCACACCATTCACTGGAAAAAACACATTGGATCTAGAGTCCAGACTCTTGAAAACATTGACAAGAAGAAGGACTCTTGATTCAAGCAGATTTAAGCTTAAATCAAAAGGAAAAACGCTCAAATTAAGAGTCTTGCTTCTTGATTTAAGCTTAAATCTGATTGAATCAAGAGTATTTTTTTGTGTCGATGTTTTTAAGAGTCTGGACTCTAGATCCAATGTGTTTTTTTTCCATTGTTGAAGTAGCATGACGTTGGAAGGAAATGAACGTCCTTTTAGAATGTCAGTAAATTTTACTTCAGTAAAATAACACGTATACCATTTTAATGATGACATTTAACGACCTCTTGTCCGGCAGTTCGTTGGCCCAGTCAGCTATCTGATATTTTTCGGTCGCTTTAATAACACACTTGTTGATAATCACCCCCCCCCCCCCCCTTTCCATTTATGATGAAATTTTTGTATGTTTCTTCCTCATTCAGGTAGTATATTACGTTGTTACGTGTCATGTTTAAGTTATTTTATAAAATTTTGAAAATCCCTCAGTAATGTACTGCCGTGATAGCGATCAGTGGCGTGGCGTGTTTTTCGATATATCGATTGTTATGCCATTTAAAGGTATGGAAAAGGATCGATAATCAGGGTGTTCGCAGCGAACACCTTAATAATCGATTCTTTACCATAAGTTTAAATGGCAGAACAATCGATACATCGCAAAGCACACCCCGCCACTGATAGCGATGGAAGCAGTAAAGGCATTTCTGGATGAGCCATGGTTAGCACATGATTTTATGTGTCTCGAGGTTCATCCCAGCATGCACTTATTACTCTCTTCGCTATTACGGAGGTGAAGAGATGTAACTCTCGGCCGTAAGATTTTTGTAAATCCGATATAGTTCTAGTGAATTTAGTTCTTGTCCTTGTCACATACTCAAGTAAAGCCAGCATGACAGCAATTTTTTTCTCGTATCATTTTTGTTCTGTTTATCAGCACTCATTTTTGGTTTACATTCATTTTTCATTTTTGTCAAGTCTTTTGAACGGTCTAAACTGTTACGCTTGTGAAACGTTGCTGAAGATTATTTTGAGATTCATTTAGCATATCGATCAATGAGCATCATGAACTTATTTTTTAAAATGAATAAATAAGTTAACATCGGCTACAATTGATCGTGAAGAGGGCCAATCACTCAATATCTTTAAACAAGATGTCCTCTGGAATCTTGATGTGAAATATATTCAAATGTATAACGACGAATCAAATACAAGATAATTTTCTTTTCGGTCGTAGTCCACCATAAATGTTAAGAAAATTTTACCTATATTGTAATAATGGTTACCAAACATTTACGTTCTATACTTGAAAAAAAAATACTTGCCGCCTATCTTCTTACCGTACTTACAATTAGCTCAATTCAACAAGGGATTTGCTGTGTTAATTTTTCTTTTATGTATGAGCATATATTTTTTCGTTCGTCTCGTAATTTACGAAATCTATGTAAAAAAAAGTGTAAGTCACGATGTCCGAGTTCTCATGAAATTGTGCCATTCCATTCCATTTTGTACCTTACGAGTAAATCAAATAAAATCATCTTTGTAAAAGCTCGTTTCTTATTTCATTCGAGGATCAAATCCAGGAGGTCTTTTGTACAATCCTCTCTATTCATTATGCTTGTTAGTTGACCGGAATATTAATTATTTTAAGTCAAATAAATTATATTTCAAGTCTTCCAGATCCAACACACTATGAAACGCTGGCCCAATAATCATTTCCTTGTGCCTTGTATTTCCAGAAAATTGATGACTGACAGTATTTATTTGGACGTAGGAACGTGCAGGTCGTATGAATGTTTCACGGGGTCGACACGATCAGGGAATATACCGAGAAATGCCAGGAAATTTTAAAAAGTCAAGGAAAATGACGAAAGTGTTTGGGAAATTTTTTACCTTTATTAGCTTTCTAGAGTAAATTTGACGTTTAGAACAACAAATTTCGCCCGGAAACGTTTCAAATTATGTCTTTTTGGCCGTTGCCGTAATTTCAATTGTCAAGGAATTTTACTCAAAAGTGTCAGGGAAATCAGGGAAATATCTGGGAATTTCATTTTCTATATTTTGCGGCAACCCCGGTTTCATATTTTTGCACAACCTTTACTGCCTCGTTTAATCTCATAAATATTTCCCTGAAATCAACTTCTCGCCGTTTTCTTTCGTTTTATGCCACCCTGCGAGTCAATGACAGAGACAAGAGACCCTCCACTGGTCTCTATGCGACAGGTGGAAGCTTTTACTTTCAGGGATTCAACAATTCCTCATGGACAATTATAAGGGAGCAACAATCATCACTCTTACTTCGGTTGTGGATCTTACCTACATGGTGGATGATGAGCTTCGGATGACGTCGTGAGCCAAACAAGTCTCCCAAACTTCACCTTGTTTGCAAAACGAAACAAGCCGAAGTTTGGAAACTTTGTTTGGTTCATGACGTCACCCGAAGCTCATCATCCACCATGTAGGTAAGGTCCACAACCGAAATAAGAGTGATGATTGTTGCTCCCTTATAATTGTCCATAAGGAATTTATTGTTGAATCCCTGAAAGTAATAGCTTCCACCTATCGCCCAGAGACCAGTGGAGGGTCTCTTGTCTCTGCTTGTCTCCGGTCAATGATAACAGGGGTTAGCTTGGGAGACCGTTTCCGGTGAGAGTAGCCTCCTTTTGGTAACATGTTGTCTTGGTAATGTTCGCAGATGAGTCGGCTCACGGGGAGTTTCGGCACTTTTTCGATTCTCGGTCCCAGGCGGAGGCGCCGAGCTCCGAGTTGCAGTGTCCCAAGTGTGGGCGCCACTACAAGCGGAAGGACAGCCTGAGCAAGCACGTGCGCTTCGAGTGCGGAGTCGAGCCGCGCTTCTGGTGCGAGTTCTGCCCCTACAAAGCCAAACAAAAAATCACCCTCAAGCATCACCTCGAGAGACACCTCAGGGACCAGGCCAAGCTCAGCGATCCCAACAACGTGGAGCACATGCTCCGTAAAGTCCAGCCTACGCACCCGCACAACCTTCGTTGAACCCCGATATGAACCAAGTTTAACTCTTAAGCCCAATGGAGATGTTGCATGGATGAGGATTTTGCGATTTGACTGTTGATTCGCACGTAAAAGTTCGCGTGAAACACGATGGTGCTACTGGTTTTCTCTGAAATTAACTCCCAAGCTCAAAAAAAGCTCTCAAGTTGAGGCTAAAACGGAGGGAATATCCCACGCTATCCTGAAAGTGCACCTCTACATCCAAGACAAACTCTTCATACAAAGATAGGGGGCAAAGATATTAGCAGGGTTGCCGTTTTTTCAGTTTTAGAGTCCCCAAATAAAGTGGCAGCCCTGTCAATGTATGCTCCCTATCTTTGCATGGAGAGTTTGTCTTGGACGTAGAGGTGGACTCTCAGGATAGTGTGGGATATCCCCTCCATTTTGGCCTCAACTTGAGAGCTTTTTTTGAGCTTGGGAGTTGATTTCAGAGAAAACCAGTGGCACCATCGTGTTTCTCGCAAACTTTTACGTATGAATCGATAGTCCAATCGCCAATTCCTCACACATACAGCATCTCCATTCACACTCATCAAACTTTTCATCCAACTCTTGGATGCAACTTGAGAACAAGGAAAAGTTGGATAGTTTGATACTGACGAGAGATAACGACAATTTGATGAAAAAGTGAACGGAAAGTTGGAGCGAAATCTTCCGACCGACATGAGCCGAAGCTGTATCTTCGGGAACCGCAGGTTGATGACGAAATCACACTGCAACGGTAATTGAATCAAATTTTTTTTGCGTCCAACTTAATTTCCATCCAACTTTTCGTTCAATCTTGTCGGATTTATGCCAAAAACTTCCTTAAAACTCTCTTATGTAAACCAAGCAAGGAGCTTCCGAAGGAAAAGAGTAGTTTAAGGAACGACTAAGCATACCGCCCCAAGACTCAATGTTAAGAGTAATGTTTTTAGAGCTGTAGATGAAAAATCGAAGTAAAGAATGTGGAAGGAATATTTTTCAGAGTTGATGGTGGTGCTTTTTGCCTATCCCATATATTGCAGGCAGTTTTCTAGATTTTCGTATTTACGTTTTGAAACTCTATACTGTCAGGTTCTTTGCAACGAACGTCATGACATGGCTCGGTCATAATTGTAGAGGAGGCTATACTCTGGGTCAGTCGTCTTTGAAACTTCCGGAATTATATTATGGAAATTGGAAAATTGTATATTTTATCTATTTTTTCAATTTCTTGTAATTTCGCGGGGGGGGGGGGNCCTGTTTTTTTTTTGTTTTTTGGTTTTTTTTGTTTTTTTTTTTTAAATAATAATAGTTGTTTTATAGTTATTTCAATTTTCTTCACCTTTATTATTTTCATTCATTCATTTATTTTCTTTTGTTCTTCCTCTTTCTTTTTTGTTAGTTTTTGAACTTTAAATATAGCTCTAGAGTTGATATCAGCCACCATTCTTCTAATTACTTAAGACCAGGCATGACAGTCCGATTTTTCATCGTCTTTTACTGGGAGCGTCTTATTTCACCCTTGTCGCATGTGAATAATTAATTTTGGCCAAAAGATTCTCAATTGGTCCCTACTTATCTTTCAGTCGAATCAGTATTGAAGCGGCCGAATTATTTTTCGATTGATTTTGACTGCATTGTGTCTTATCTTTCATCAGTTAATGACAATGTGACGTGTAAAAAAGCTTGAAAAACCAGTGAATTTCAGCGCCGAATGTAAACTCAGGAAATTTTCTTGAATTGTTTGGCTTGTTCACTTATTTTTTGTCAGCGGAGTTTGAACCTCGCACTTAACATACCTCATAAAAATAATTTCTATGCATGTCAAGTAGGTATCCCTTGAAGAACCTTAAAAAGTGAAACAATTTTTAAAGTCGTGGAAAGTTTTAACCCTGTCCTTAACAAATAGAAAGTATTTACAATACACTCGAAACGCATGTATTCCCTGTGTAATTTCATTTCTCTATTCATGCGATTTCAGGCACAATGTAGAAAATGTTAATTTTGATAATTTTAGACGATGCCACTCATTCCTTCTTCTTTATCAAAATTGTTTGCTCCTTACATTAGTATTTTGTCTAATGACATCGCTCATAGAATTGCGAGAAAATTGCATCATATTTTTCCGTCAAGTCGACATTATTAACGTTTTGCAATTTATTGCTTACATTTGTTATTTATTTTAATTTTAAAGTAGCTTTAGTATTTTCCTGATATTTATTATGTTGTCCCCTTTTCCCATCATACCCAATGAACTCGGCATATAATGCTGTGGACAAGAACGATTCGGAAATTTTTTAGTCCAAAGAAATATTCAATTTTCTTTTCGTGTCGTTGTTTTTGCAATATTTCGTTATGGTTCCGTTCCTGGAATTGTCTGGTGAAATATTTACGATTGATACTTCAGTCAACCTCATTTTAAGTTGATAACTGTAATTATTTTCCATCAACTGAATTTTTTTCCCGGGAAAAAGATCAGTTGGTTGTTGCTGTTGGTTAATAGATGTGTACAAAGTGTGTCCATATTACGTTTAATACTATCGTTGAGCCTGAAAATAAATGTTCAAATGATTATCAGTGGCACGAAATGATATTTCGTGATCATCATACCACAGTGTTATGGATTACATACTGGATTATGATGTGGTCCGCTCTTTTTTGTTCGCCCAGAATTCGAAAATCAGCATTAGCGAATTTTCAGGTAAAGAAACTGCAACCCTCCGGGTCAAGAGAAGTTTTTCAATGAGCCTTTAGACTCTGCTAAAGCTCCTCTTGCGATAAAATGTTCGTTTTTTAAGAAATACATGCAGTTTTTTATTGTAATTTTTACGTGCTACAGATTAAAATGCAAACAAAATCTTCTGAAATTTTTTTAGAAAAAGATTCACAATTTTCCCTACAAATTCGTTTTTATTGGAGGAAATGTGGCAACGTTTGGCAACGGTGTTCTTCACTAAAGCACGCGGCAGAACGGGCCGTATTACAATGGGGCACGGTGATATCACACATCTAAAGATCATTTGACCATCATGATGATATTTTATTTTTACAAGTGATAATATTGCATAATGCCTATCTCAGTATACATTTTTTTACTCATGATTTTCTCTCTTGTAATAATAATCGAAATAATTATTGATTCGTTTAATTCATTTCTTTAAGCTGAATTTCACAGGAGCGTTGAATGAGCCCTTACTCGATGATTTTTACTCCTTGTCTGCCATTCACAGGTAACTCATAGAAGTAATTGTCATGAACCAAAGTATCTATTGATTTCTCAATATTTTTTTGTTTTATAAGTTTGACAAATGCCCAAGGCTTTATGGTTATCAAAATTCTAAAGCATCTCAGGAAACAAGAGAAATCAGGTTTAAAAGAATTAATTTTACAGCTACAATTGCAGTATTAAGTACCGTGGTATTGTTTATACTTTAAGTCAGGTAAAGTCATAAGAAAACCACTTACGATGTTAATAATTCTCTTCTTAGTAATTGTTGCCATAGCCTGTATACCTACCTCACATTTGCAATGTAAATTGTATCCTTCTACATATGTTATTGCAGAAATTTGAAAACCACGGAATCTCTTCAACAAAAAATGTTTGTGTTTGTTTTTCCTTTGCTCGATATGTTTTATTGATCACTTTAAATCGCGATCTAAATAAAATAAATTTTTCACGTTACATATGGTATTTTTTAATCCTTGAAATTTTTCATAATTAATTTTATTTTGATGATTTAAATATTGAAAAAGTAATTTATCTAAGCGACAGTTTGAGAAACGCGTCAGCCTCCACCATAGCTTTTTTTAGATTATTAAAGAAGTTACTACTCAGGTTACTACCCAGCTTTGGTCGGAAGGTATAGCTCTGCGCATGAAAGTTGAAGAGCAAACTTCAAAGTTGAAAAATAAAAAAATGAAAATCCAAAATCGGCTGAAGAATCGGATTTCCAAAAATAAAACATCATCCGCCCTTAGTTTTCAAATGCAATTATGTGCTTTAAAAAAAAAAAGAAAAAAAAAAAAGAAAAAAAAGAAACCTGATAATTTTGGTTTCTTATACTGCAAAAAAAAGATTATTTGTACCCCATTTTGCTATAATGAACTACGATTTCTTGCTATTTCCATCTATAAAAGCACCTATCTGTGTGGAGAGTCATATGATACATCACAGGATCGGTAGTTCCTCATTGCAAAATGAGGTCGACTTATACCATTTTACTAAAAGGCTTTTTCGTTCGAATAGGTTACTACCTGGCCAATGGAAGAGACCGGAGCAATCTTATGAACCACAAGCCGTACACCTGCCTCAGGTGTAATAGGAGTTACAAGCACAAAGGTAGCATTAAAAGGCATCTGGATCTGGAGTGCGGTGTCGAACCTAAATTCAAATGCCCCTTCTGTCCGTACAAGGCGAAGCAAAAGGTCGGATTGCAGTATCATCTGAAGAAACACGAGAGAGGTCTTCTTCTAGGGCATTTTCAAGATCATGGCTCATACCCACCGCGAGAAGAATAAATTCCCAACAAAAATTATGATTCCTGCATTTATGTGATAGCGTGAGAGAGCGATCCTTCTTGGATCTGTGACCCCTTTTCCCCTCTGTGCCAATCTGTTTAGACATTAAGCTAGATTTAGTACCTGATTCTCTACTCGTACTTTTTGTATCATTTGCAATGTTCGTAAGTTCCTATTTTTCCGACATTTTCTATTGTTTACTGTTTATTGTGCGTGTTCGTGCCTACGTTTATTATTGTGGGAAAGGTGAACGCAATTGTCCAACAATTAGATCAGTTTCAGTTGTAGCACCCTTTCCACTCGAAGCAGCTGAATTTTACTCCAATTTTTTCATACTCTCAAACGCAAAATCCAATCTCATTTATTTTATTTTATTTTTTCCTGTCTCTGATTGTTCATTGGTTTTATCTAATTTATAAGTTCGGAAACGACCCAACTCTAAATTTTTTAAATAATTCTAAAAAATAATTTTCAGATCCAAATGCGTCAGTCGTTTACTGTGTTATTCAAGGGCATTACGAAATCCGAGTCAACGTAATGGGTAGTAACCCATAGAAAGTTGGTCTTTTTCCATACTTGGAAGTCCAGTGGTCGGTTGTTTTTGATAAATCGTCAATTTTCTCTAATTTTTTCATAATTATTGCTGGACCTGATTAGTTATTCTACCTCTTTCTCCCTCCCTCTCCATTTTCTCTATCTTTTATCTCCCTCTTTTTCACTTTTTCTCATAAGAGTTGGGTCGTTTCCGAATCCAATATTTAAGATAGGTATTATGTTATAATAAAAATTCATTTTACCGGAAATGCTGAACGCAAAGGCGCAAAGTTCTCTTGCACAGCAATATTGTGCTCAAATAGCAATAATGTTACTTAAAAATTCCATTTTCCTATGGTTAAGCACGATTGTACACAAGTTTATGTCAAGTAAAGTTTAGGTGTTTGCATACTTATTAACTACTCGAAGTTTTAAAAGTGACTCAAAGACTGTGTTATGAAGTATTTTACATTGATGAAAATTGATTTTCGTTTGAACGTACCGGTCGTTTCAAAACGAATATTTCACTCAAGTGTATCTCATTAAGATGAAATAAAAAAAAATTATTTTCTAAAAGTTTGTTTAATCTTGGACAACATAATTCACGACTTAACCAATTTTGGAGGCATCTATCATTGTATCCTAATTTAAGTCTTCAGGGCCGTCGTAGGATTCCCGAAATAATCACACTCTGTTTTCGTAAGAACGGATTCGGAATCCTTTAAAATTAATTGGAACGAAGTCAGCGAGAAGCTAGGAATCAACCCTAATCGTTTTTAAATAGTTCAGGGAAATTTTTTGGATTCGCATGTTTTTAATCAGTTTAGTGCCATTTAATTTGGTGTATTATTGAAAATGGATTTGATCGAAATTTAAGCTGATTATAGTTGTTTTTGTAGAAATTTTCCAACACGCACAAGTAGAGTCCAAAATTTTTAGTGAAAAGGTTTGTGGCTCGAAACTTGGGGTTATTTTTAATCATGAAGGACTCATTTTCCGGAGCCAATTGGTTCCCCTCATCCCGTCATCAGGGCCTTCGGTCATTCTTTTTGAATATGATCCAATATTAAAAATCGTCTTTTGTTTTTCTTTTATTATTTTAGCATTTTCCTTTTAATCCATGTCCCAATTTATTGCTGGTTCGTGGTATGTATTTCTGACCGTTTTTTTTTATTACTTAAAAGAGTCGTCTTTGTATTGTATATGTCGTGTTAAAAATTGTATCAAAATGTCTTCTTTTGCATATTACGAGTATTTTTTTTTACTGTGCCATTGTCTCTCTCTCTCTCTGGTAAACTATGTCCGCAATTCGAGTTGATGAGCGGAGTTGTATGAGCGGAATATTTTCTACCTCGTGTTCTGCGCCACTTAAAAAGACATTTTGTCACAAATATGTTAGCCTCCATCGATCAACAAATTCAAGAACCTCGCAACGTTGGCGTCTCTCTAAACTTTAAGTTGCATCTTTTGTAAACTACTCTACAACTTATTTATTCAACGTATTTATTATAACTTATTCTTTTAGTAAATAAACATCTTGTAATTAACTAATGTATTTCCCTCTTTTACCACTCATTATATTTTATATTTTTCACATGAACGTTTCTCGTGGTATGTAAAACGTTTTCCTCATTGTTTTTACTTTATGGATGTCGATCCCACAACGTTTTAATGACAAGAACAAACCATTAATGAAAAATTGCATTTAATCAGCAAATAGATTAGGCGAAGTTCTAAATGAGGTGTCAAAAAATCCTTGATTTTGGCTCTCATCCGCGCTTGTATGAAATTTTAGAAAAAAACCAAGCACAGACTTTTAGTATAATGAGAGGATATTCTATTCATTGGGTAAAGAAGGATCGCTGAATATGTTATCATAAAGACCAAGAACAGTAACCAGTTTTTCGCCTTTAATGTGAATAGTTTGAACATATTCAATAGCGCCAAGCAACTTACTTCAGTGTCAAATCTTACAATATGCGGCGTCGAGCTTTTAGAAAATAATTTTAGACTGCGTGCTAACTTTAGACTAGTGCCGTCTCAAAAATTAATCAAATGACAGTGCTAAAATAGTAATAACGAATACAGAATCCGAGCGGGCGAACTCACCGATTGACATAAGTGAACTGTGTATTTCGTCCATCGGTTTGTAATGTCACCCGAATTAAGCTGTAGCATGCGTCAGGAATATGCGATTTAAGTGCTGATTACTACAGGGCCGGATTCACCTACTTGCCGCCCCCTTCTCATTCGTTTTGAAACATCAATCAAAACCATCAAGTGAACGTGCCGGAGGGGTAGGGGTGCATAAGACGCGTTCATTCGAGTTTGACACATTTTTTGCGAAAGCCCCATGTCAACACTACCAGCAAAATTTCACGGGACTTTGCGCGAAAGTTAAGTTCCGTAAACTTATCTCTGTGTGGACAAGGCCCTCCATTTATAAGAAATGAACGAAAACATTATGAAAGAACAGACATAATTAAATGTGGTTAAATAATTTCAACTTCCGCCGCCGCGCCGCGCTGACCGCACTGTGTTTTGCGCAATGCATGAAGTATTTCTACAGTCCTGTAGGCGCTATGCGTTTCACGTCGACCGCTGCTGACCGCACTGTTTTTGACGCAATGCGTGAAGTATTCCTACAGTCTTGTAGGCGCTTTACGTTTCACGTCGAGCGGTGCTGACCGCACTATGTTTGACGCAATGCGAAATTACTGTACTCTCAGGAAATGAGAGATTTTGTCGACTTTTCTCGTTTGTATTTTTTCCTGAATCCGATTTGCTTTATACCTTCACTTAAAAAAATCGCCAAATTTGCCGCCATGGGCCGCGGCCCATGTGGCCACTCCCTCAATCCAGCCCTGGATTACTATGTAAAATTTCGCGAGAAACACGATAGTGTCACTGGCGTCGTCAAAAATAAACTACTCAAAAAATCCTCTCAAAGTTGAAGCTGTAATGAGGGCATATCCCACGCTACCATGAAAGTCCACCGCTGTATCAAGTCAAACTCTCCATGTAAAGATAGGGAGCAAACACATTATCAGGGTTGCTGTGTTTTCAGTTTTGGAGTCCACAAACAAAACGGCAACTCAGTTAATGTATTTGCCCCCAATCTTTGCATGGGGAGTTTGACTTGATACAGCGGTGGACTTTCATGGTAGCGTGGGATATGCCCTCATTACAGCTTCAACTTTGAGAGTTTTTTTGAGAGTTTGTTTTGGAGAAAACCAGTGGCACCATCGTGTCTCTCGCAAAATTTTACGCCAGGAAAAGTATTCAAATCACAAATCCCTCTCACATGTAAGAGCTCCATTACAGATGATGATGGGATGAAATTCCCGATTGGAGGAGAAGCCCACCTCGGCTACAATGTCCTCGGTTTCAAACTGCGGCCCGATTATTGAAATTGATTGACAAAGCTATAGACAAAAAAGACAAGAGGGATATGGAGGGATCCTATTGGTGGAAGCGGGTGGTTGCAATGGACAAAAGAGGTAGGTAATAGACTAACTAACGGCAACCCAGGAGAGACCCGACAGTTAGTCGATCATTTTTTCCCTTACTCTATAAGAGCCACCCGTTACAACCAATAGGAACGCTCCTTACTCTCTATGTCTTCTTTGTCTATAGCTTTGTCTATCAATTTCAATAATCAGCCCGCTGGACGTATTTCTACCAAACAGACCTATATGGAGGTGAGAAATATGGGGTGTGCTCGTCGAAGCTGCACAAGAAGCAATGTAAAAGTGGGCGTGATTCCTTTTGAAGAATTGGAAAAGCGGGCTATTACATTCTATCAAACAGACCTATGTGCCAACTGAATGCGAGATTCATGAGCCGTGGGCATGGCAAGAGAGCGTTGTGGACAGGGCTCACGAGTTAAAGCGCCCCGACGACCATCTCCCCCTCGCTCGAGTGCGCACTATCTTTGCCGCTGACGTCACTGGCGCTTTATTATTCCCATTCACTCTTACGGCCAGAGAACTAACGAGCACACCCCATATTTCTCACCTCCACATAGGTCTGTTTGGTAGAAATACGTCCAACTGATGTCTTGTCGCTCTTTGTCCAACAGATGTTCAAGAAGTGAGTGTAGTAACCGACGGTGACAACTGCATTCCCGTCAACATTGTGCCTTTCTTCTGCAACTCGTGCCATAGAACCTACAAGTACAAGCGAAATTATACCCGACACTTGCGCAAAGAGTGTAAGGGGGACGCTCGCAAGAGGAGACGAGGAGCAGCCGAGCAAAACTTCAGATGCGAGAAGTGCGGTCGCGGGTACAAGTACAAACGGAACTACAGGCGCCATCTGCGGGAGGAATGCACCAACCGTCGGCAACCTAGTCCAGGACCGATAATAGTCATCGTCCCGGCCGCCGAGCCCGAACGGACGTCCTCTGAAACCAACGAATAAGAGCACTGGAAAAAAAAAACACATTGGATCTCGAGTCCAGACTCTTGAAAACATTGACAAGAAAAAATACTCTTGATTCAATCGGATTTTTGCTTGAATCAAAACGAAATCCGCTTAAATTAAGAGGCTTTGGTTCTTCATTTAAGCTAGATTCTGATTGAATCAAGAGTACTTTTTCTTGTCGATGTTTTTAAGAGTCTGGATTCTAGATCCAATGTGTGGTTCTTTTTCCAGTGAGGGCTTACGAGCATGGGGTCTAAAACCTGGAAATAGCGGGATTTACCAAAGGAAAATTAGCCTGGAAAACCAGGGAATGTATGCTGAAAACTGAGAATTTTTTATCCCTCCAATCTCATTAAATATTGTTATTTTATTTTTTAATTTGAGGTCTGTGTTGACTTGGCTTTGAGGAAGTTGAAGAAAGATAAATAAGTTTGTTCTTTCCCTGAAATTAGAATCAAATTGGAAACCATGGAACCATGCACAAATGAACTGAATCGTAGGAACCAGAACCATGCTCATATCTGATTGACGTGCGCCTCGTGGCTCCTCTTGCTTTTATCCACATGGACATGGTTTCTTTCAGCTAAAATACGGTCGATTTTTTTTTCCACAAAGAAATATAAGGAAAATAAAGAGAGACTCATCGTTTTTTTGGGAGGGAGGGGGGATTCCCAGCTGAAATCAGAAAAAATTAAAAAAATGCAGAGAGGGAAAAATACAACTAAAAAATTATAGACGCCATGCCTACAAGTAATTTCATAGTATTTTCATATCCTTCCCCATCAATGTTCAAAATATTATCTTACTGCCCAAGTAATTCCCGGGAAGAATAATGAAGGAGAAAAAAAACTATTCTCATCTGACTCTTAATTAATTTGTTATCATTTGAGGCATGCAAGCAAAAACCGCATTCGTCCCACAACCAATTCATCCCAGATCAGGTCAAAGCCTTTTCCTAAGACGTAGCGTAGTATCCTAGTATTATTCACTTGTTACCTGTTCAGCTTACGAGATTTGTTTGTATGTTTCGTAATAAAATTTCATTCTTTGAAGTTAATTTTAGCCTTTTATTCCAAATGTTTCAGCAAGTGTTTACTTTTATCAGGGATGTAGAGTTCTCAATTTGAAAGGGAGATAATGAGTCAGTAGAAAATAGTGTAAAATGTCTATCAAAACTAATATCCAGCGAAAGAGAAAAAGACTTTCTTCATAAATTCTTGAGTACTTCTTGAAACGGGTGATAAAAATAAATTGTGGTAATCATTATGATAATGAGTTCCAGAATCCTCTAAACAATTAAAGAAACACTTATCAATGTGTTAAATGTATTTTAAGAAAGTGTCAAAAGTTTTTAAAACTACGTAATTTTTTTCTCGTCGTCGATGTCGATGATATAAGATGTCACATGAATTTTTGAGCTTTTGAGTGAACTTTTTTAGTACTTACAACCGATATGTAGTGTCCATATTTAGCGCAGTTTCCGGGAGGAAAAAAAAAAGAAAGACAAAAATTAAATAAATGAAATAATAATAGTCTTGAGCACCTTTTCCCCATTTGTTTTATCTGTCCTTCATCTGCTTCTTGTGTATTTTTCTTATTTGTTCTCATTTTTCTCAGCTCCCGCATGCTTTTCCCCCTCAAATTCTGTTCCAGTGTTTCACTCTCCAATGGAAAAAATTACTAACTGGGTCATAAATATTTTGCGTAGAGTTCCGAATGCTTCCTCCTGGGTCAAATACTAACCTTTTATATCAATACCAAGTTCCAATATTATTCTATGTAATACTTTTTGTCATTTCTTTTCAACAAAATGTCGATCAGATTTTCTGTTCGTGATGCGAATTAGAAAACTGAATTAGAAACTTTCAAATTTTATAAAAAAATATCTTTGGAAATTCTAATTGGACGAAGAAGAGAAAATTCAAAGAATAAAAATGAAGCTTCAGCCCAATGGTGGCAATGAAGTGGGTGGCATTTTGCTTGAGCTTTCAAATGAATACTTTTCTCAGCTTTCACGTATAATTTCACATCCTCCTTTCTAGGCACTATTTTGCCTCTAACAGTTGTTCTGATTTTTACAGGTGTTACTGATGCGAATATTCCTAAACTTCCACTAATCAAGAATGAGAAACCTAAAACGGTCGCAAGGAAGAAGCCCACTTCGGAACTCAGCACCGGCAGAGTTTTGAGGGCCAGGAGAAAGAAAGCGAAGTACGCGGAAAGTCCCAGCGAAAGCGAAGAGGATGAAGATGAGAATGGAAGTTATGATGATTATGGTGAGGATTCCGATGACTCTGATGACGAGGAGTACATCCCTGATTCAAAAGCGGGCTCGACTTCAAGCACAATCAGACCGCGATTATTGGATCTACCCGCATTCTCCAAGATTCAGCTGAAACCGCTCACAGTTCTTTCAAGGACCAACGTTACGGAATCAGAGATCAAAAAATCTCCGATCGCCAACCTACCGGCTCTGACGAATGTATCCGCACTCAGGGAGTCCCTGCTACGAAAATTAGGCACCGTCCCTGCCACGCCACCAAGCGGACCGAACACTTTCGAAGAAACAGGTTTGTTGTCTCATTCGTTCATTTCACCAACAAACGGAGATCCTCCACCAGAGTATGGAGAGTGTATGGGCCAGAGAGAAGAGACCCTCCACTGCCTCCTCGGCGACAGGTGGAAACTTCTACTTTCGGTCATTCAACACTCCATTATGGACAATTATAAAGGAGCAACACCCATCACTATTTTTCCGGCTGTTGACCTACCTACTGGGTGGATGATGACCTTCGGGTGACGACGTAAGCCAAAGTTTCCCAAACTTCAGTTTGTTTGAGAAACGAAACTCCCAACACGTTGTTAACCATCCAACTAGTAGGTAAGTCACTAAGCCAACAGTTATCTGCCGCAGCCCCGAAAGAAAAAGCTTCCACCATTGCCATGCTACCAATGGAGAGTCTCTTGTCTCTGGCATGGGCATTGGGGCCGAATTTCCTTGGTCCTTCTACCGTATTTAAATATACTTAGGGCGAGTCTCGACTGCCCTCAGGTCCGGCTAGCGCTTTTGATTGGCCGATGGTGCGGTGTGGACTCATCGATGGATGTTGCACCTCCACGTGAAAAACCGACAAAAATCGGCTCCTGGGGCTCAATTCCGATTAGTTCAACCATCAAATAGGCTACTTCGGGCTCTCTTGAGCCCACGTATGCTGGACTCTTCGTGTAGATGTAGGTTGAAATCATTGTAATGGCTTTTATTAATTTACAGAACCGTGAAAAAAAGGAGCGGAATAAATTTACAAAATGAAAGTATTTTTATGTACCGAAAACCTATATCGAGCATTACATCGCCAAAAAAATTATTTAGTGTCTGCATTTTTTATGTGGCAATATTGTCAAACTTCAAAATAGAACTTTTAACAATTTAGCATAATCATTTATAAAAAGTATGAAAGAAGGGTATAGATTGGTCCAATTGGTCCATTTTTGGGCCCATCTTAGCTAAATTTTTTCTACTCTACGATTTTTTGCCCATTGAGGGTCTATATTTTACGGAAAGCATCATAATTTGGTTATTTTCGGTCTCTTTTCAGGTCTAATACGGACCCAAACATGAGTCTGAGGGCTAGTTATTGGCGAAAAATACAGATTGTTCGACGATCAACCGCAAACTCAGGAAACCCGCATTTTTCGCCGAAATCGGCCTTCAGAATCATATTTAGGCCAGTATTAGACCCGAAAAGAGACCGAAAATGACCAAATATTAATGCATTCCGTAAAATATAGACCTTCAATGAGCAGAACATCATAGAGTTGAGGAAATTCATGTAAGGCTCAAAAACGGTTCTTATCGATACACCTCATATGAAGATATTTTAAACTTGTAAAAATTATGATGTTTGTTAATTATGTCTATCGTAATTATTACAAAAATGCGAACTCTCCACAGATCGCCTTTCGAAATTCTCGTGGACCAAGGAGAGGTGTCTCAAGTTGATTGACGAATATGCCAAGTGGCCGAATCTATGGAACCCGAAGGACGAGAAGTTCATGCATAAACTCAAGAAGCTTGATGCGTGGGTGAGCATTTCGAAAAGCGTTGATTGCTCCGTCGCTGAAGCCAGAAGGAAAATGGAGAGCTTACTTTCCAGCTTCCGTCGCGAGAAAGCCAAAATGGCGCAAAATCTTGTTTCCGGCGAGGGTGAGTTCTTTTGTACTTTCTAGGGAGACCAATACGTAAATTGCTCAAGTTCAAAACCACGTATCGACATCTCCTCTCATTTTTCTTGGGAAAGCTTGTCAGCGTAATTTCTTATTGTAATGGCTGTCGGGCTGGTCTCCTTCTAATAAATAAAATAGAAGCGGAGATTTTGAAATAACGTATCTGGGATATCTAAGGCTAAAATGCGACACTACGTATCTCTGTTGCAGTGTTTCAAAATTATCACCCCTCCTTAATTTCTTCGAAGAGAAACAGCAAGTTTCATAGCTCGAAAACGAAGAGTATTCTGCTAGCATATAAAAAAAAATCAAGGAAGATACCAAGAAATTACGTCGACTAGATTTCGATAGAAAATATGGATAATGATAAAAAGTCTGCAACGTCGGAGATGGATATACGCGGTTTCAAACTTTTGCCATCGAATTATACATATCTAACAATAAGCTACATTCTCACGTCGCGCAGTGGGCTAGGAGGCCCTTCTCGTGGGCTAAAAACCAATGATGGAGCTCTTTGACTCAGGAATTACCGATTTTACTAATGTATTTTTTTGTGAATTTTTTATGAACACCGTAATGCCACTCTTCTTTCCTGAAATAAAGTTTCAACCTTAAAAAAAAAAACAAGCAGGAAGCTCCAACGCATTGGCGTCGGAGAGCGGCTCTGGGGGCAGTAGTTGTAGTCAAGAATGAGGGCCTAGACACATTTTGTCATTGATGTACAATCCGACAACTGTCGATTCATGTTTTGTAACTTAGCAGATTTACGTAGCCGGTGTATAAATGTGTATTGGGCTTTGATATGGCGAATACATGGCATTATCACTTGTTGTATAC